ATATATATATATATATATATATATATATATATATATATATATATATATATATATATATATATATATATATATATATATATATATATATATATATATATATATATATATATATATATATATATATATATATATATATATATATATATATATATATATATATATATATATATATATATATATATATATATATATATATATATATATATATATATATATATATATATATATATATATATATATATATATATATATATATATATATATATATATTAGTGATGGATATGGTATAGCTGCTTCTAAAGACCAGGGTTTTCTTCAGGGCTTGTTGTCATAGAATCTTGTGCACCAAACTGTCTTCCTTCCTTGCTTCATCTTGCTTAACACTACTTATTTAACTTTTCCAGCAATACACATGAAAAATTTATCACTTTTCAGGCAGACTGTGGTTCATATAATACATTCTAATTATTTATAAAGGTGTCTGTACTGTAAAGATGATTTTTTTTCTATTGTTTGCAGGATTTATTAAAGTTAACAATAAAGCCAAAGAAATATGTTGGATTTGAGTTGTCAACAAGCATTACACACACGACAGGCTTGGTTGCAGAGGTTATTAGCTATTCGAAGAGGCTATGAAAAATTTACTCAGCATTGATTAATTATTGAAGGTACTGTACTGTAAAAATGTGCTATGAATTGAAGTTCTGTATATAGTAGTACTTTATTATTTTCACCTTGCACAAAGATGGAGTAGACGTACATTATGAAAAGTCAATGACTCTTTGAACCTAGCCTGTCATTCACATTAGTTGTCCTCACAGAGTATGTAGGCTCGCTCACAAAGCCTCAGCTACTAGTTATGTGTATAATGTACAGTATTATTATAACATCTTCTCATAATTGGATTATAATATGCTTTATCCCTCATTTGTTTGCTGTCAAACAGTAAAGGATGCACATATTATCTGCTAACTGCACAGAGTTTTTATTACTTAACTGTTATAAAAGTTACTCTAGAATTTATTACAGTAAAGTGCCATTGTAGACATTTTGTAGTAATAGCACAGCACAGTATGAGTAATTTATTGTATAGATCTACTACATGTAATGTGCCATTAAATTTTGTAAATATTTGGTGATAATGTCAACTTGTCCATAAAATACCTGTACTTGAATATATGACAATGACAATATAGTGTAAAATGTTCATATCAAATTAAATTTTCTTGAGATTTTCTTGTCACCATATATCCTAACTTGTTTAGCACTGTTGTTGTTTGTGTTGTTACAATGAGATTGTATATAATCTCTCTTAGTCTCCTAACATTGTGGAGTTTTGCACATATGTATATAAAGCAGTTACCCCTTGAAGACTGATTTCCAAATTGTTGGAAAAATCTTCTGTAAAGAAATGTAAATTAATTTTCATTCTAAATAGTAGGCAGTCATAGTGTGATTATATTGTAATTAAACATTTTACTAGACTGTGTGTGCCATACAGTATATAAAGTAAGGTAGTACAGTAAGTGTTAAATGTTCAACTCCCTGGTGAACAGAGCATAGCATTTGTTCATTATCTTCAGGAACATATTTAACATAATGAATAGAAGATGTCTTTCTTGACATTTATTAGATGGTTCTTAACAGAAAACCTTTTTCAGATGTGTTCATAATATTATAGTACAGTATTGTACTGTATTGTACTATACATGGTCACAAGACAACATGTACTTTCATTGAAGTAAGGTTGAATATTCTGTATTGCAAGTTTATACTGATTTGCATGAATTGATGGTGCTATATATTCAAGACCAGTCACAGTAGTAAAATTGCATATAAAATTAGCATAGAGAAGAGACATTTATTCTGTAGATAAACAAAAACTTCTATTTTTAGTTTAGTTTCACATACTCTAGAAGAAAAATTTGCTAGACTTCCTTGTCAGTGTAGTACACAACTTTTGAGAAATGAAAAATTTATGAAATGTTGATCTGTACAAGTTAGGTAACTTCATGGAAATATTCATTTAAGAGAAGAATTAATCTAGCCTTTTCCAGTTTTTATAGACAAAACTATCACCCTAAGAACAGCAAACAGCCTTTACTGCATAAATTAGCATGCAGTAAATATTCAGTAAAATCCTTGCTTATCATATTTTCTTTGTTAAATAAAGAAAGTGATAACCTTATGTGGTACTTTTTTAAGTTAAATTTTAAAAAGCTAATATTTGTTTCATTCTCCACTTGGGAGATAGTGTGCAACTTTCTACATAGCACCAAAAATAGCGCCTTTAAAAAGAAGAAAGTGTATTTTCTTCTATATGCACCCTGGAGAGAAATGGTCTTGTCCAGGTTCAATAATAAAGCAAAATTGAAATGATTTTGAGGTACAGTATACGGTAACAATATGTGTGACACAGCTTTTACACATGCTTCATTAAGAGTTTTAAAATTATTAAAAGGAAGCACATACTTGTGATAGGATGTATAACTGGATTGAGGTTATGCTTGGGATACACTGTAAAAAAAATTAATTAGTACCAATGTTAAAGTGTCAATTACTTCTGTTTACACAGTTAAATATAGATTACCATGCCCAAAATATACAATTTCAGTTATACATTAATGCTACAATGAAAAATGTATTTTACAGCTCCTATTCATATTAACATATGTTGAAGGAAGCTCAATGTTAGCCTATAGTTCATACTTTTCAGTGATCCATAAAAGGTTAATGCTCTTCTAACCTGAACTACAAAGAACTAAGATTTTTTTTATTTCCTGGCGTCTTAGTGGTTCACTATTGTAAATGAATGTTAAGAGAGAGAAAGTGTATGAGTGTGCATGCAGGTGAGTGTATCCACCAGTAATGCACATGTAAATCAAGATTTAATAAAAATAAAGTTTATGACATGAGTCATTCATCAAGTAACTTGCGAGATATACTTTTCCATAAATACCTACCCTTCGTAAAGCCTGCCTTGACTGGGGACTGTCTTCATGCCAAGGCAGGGACACTGTTTTACATTGATCAATGAGAGATTGCCTAAACAATTATACACTGTACTCACCAAATGTACCAGTGGTTAGTAAGTATAATATTTCATCCATGATCCAATTGTGTTTCAAAAAGCAAGTTTGTCAAACAGTCACCAGAATGAATTTTTGTCATGTCATGTGACTTGAACCACCTAGTTGCTAGGTGTTACTGATTTATCCTGTACACGGCGCAATCACTGACGTTTGGACTCGAAAATACGTAATTTGACAAAATTTTGGTACGACTTCGGCAGTCGTAAGTCGGGATATATATATATATATATATATATATATATATATATATATATATATATATATATATATATATATATATATATATATATATATATATATATATATATATATATATATATATATATATATATATATATATATATATATATTATATATATATATATATATATATATATATATATATATATATATATATATATATATATATATATATTATATATATATATATATATATATATATATATATATATATATATATATATATATATATATATATATATATATATATATATATATATATTGACCCCTCCGTCAACGAATTCAATCCGTTCCAGAAGGTCATTCGTTAACCGAAAAGTTCGTTAACCGAAACCATACGACCGCCGAAGTTGTACCAAAATTTTGTCAAATTACGTATTTTCGAGTCCAAACATCAGTGATTGCGCCGTGTACAGGATAAATAAGTAACGCCTAGCAACTAGGTGGTTCAAGTCACCTCGATTAACCGACCCTCGGATTAATCGTCAATCCCGAACTCCTAAAAAGAAAAAAAAAAATTACAGGGATTAGCCCACCCTGGCACAGGTCACTGACCCACATCAGGGCCTGGGGGGCGATAATGTAATAATATTAATAATGATAATGATAATAATAGTAATAAAGAACCATAAAGAAATAAAAATGAAAAAAAAATCAAGAGTGAGAAACAATATATGTATGTTGTGTTGTCAATAGTAAGAGAAGCAATTGAGACCCTGTAATTGTGTAAATGAGATAGAAAGTCAGATCAGCAACTTGGGACTAGGTCACAATTTTTGTGATGACATGTTCTTTGACTTTTCCATTTTTTATTCACGGTTTCTGTGCTGGTTCATATTTATTTACTAAAGTGGTTAATGTTTTAAAGCAAATTCTATTGAAATATGAATGGCAATTGAACAAAAATGAATAGAGGGAATTAAATGAGGTAGGTTAGGGAAAGGTAATTTGAAAATGTATGTTTTATTTCCGTAGACTTATGTACTATTAACCGACCTTTCGGATTATCTGTCGGACCCTTCCCTCCATATGTGGTCGGTTAATTGAGGTTTTACTATATATATATATATATATATATATATATATATATATATATATATCTTATCTTGCAGTCAGGTAAGTGGGGAAGATGTTGGCAGTGATTGAAGTAGGTTTCATGAATGAATTGTTCTGGAATGTACTGCATTGAGGGAGCTTCCTATAGAAACTACTTGCAGGAAATGAAAATTCCACGCTTCAGTGGTTTTATTTAAAATGTACGGTTCTTGTGGAAAAAAAATAAAAGTTAGCTTTGTTTCCAGGTGATTCTGTGATACTATATAAATATATCAATATAAACTTGGTGTAACATATAGTTGTTAATGGTAATGAAAATAAGGTCTTTCTTGCACCATTACATGATTAATTTCTATTGACTGCTAAATATTTGTTAAAAAATCAATGAATGGTACGATAATCCAATCAAAATTTAACAACCGGTTCAGGCAAACCAGACTGAACCGGCCCCAGCGCACCCCTGATTACACTCACCTCTTGAGTGAGGCTTTGGGCATTTTTCACAGTACAGTACAATATATAACTGGCAGTGGAGTATGACTCATAAGTCATATACACTTGTATTTTCATTTATAAATTTCACACAGGAGTAGGATAAAACACACACATAAATAAAAAATATACAATTTATTTACAATATGAAGGATATAAAAATATCTTTTAAACAATTCTATTTTGTATTTTGCATACTTGCTATAATTGGTTTTGGTCTAGTTTTAAAGAGAAGTTTCTTCTTGACAATTGCTCTGATGGTGTACTCAACACAAGGCTTCTCTCTAGGAATATCTTCTGGTAAGTTTTCTAAGCCATCAACTTCCACATTCATGTTCTTCTTATTGTCTACTCTTGTCTTTCTCATAACCGCATAGCATTTGTCTAAGTCTTGTAATTTGCCATATAATATGTGGTGGCCAATGATTAGAATTGGAATACCCTGTGGATGATAATGTTAAAATTTAGTTTTTAAAAACTGTTCAGAAAAATAATACTGTACAGTACATAATTAATAAATGTCTATCCATTTCCTGTAAAAATGGCAATTTATAATCCAACATCAAAGTTAAAATTATTTTGCCATGAGCCAATTTTGTCCTTCATTTAGCCACTGAAGACCTGTATTTTGAAATTTCCAAAATATGCATCAGACATGAAAGTTCAATTAAACCTAACCCTTTGGCCACCATTTTTTTTCATCACCATTTTTAATTCTGATACTCCACCATAATTTTTTTTTCATGACTGTCAAAAAAAGAAGAAAAAACAATAATAATTTTACCATTTAAATCAAGTGTCAGACAATAGGGATGCTGCCATTTGGGAAAGATCTGTGCAGCCAGCCTGATACACCCATGCTGTTATCAGCTAACTGTCCCATTTCCTCCACATTTTCATCACAATTTACATGAGTTACTGGCACCAGAATGTCAAGATATGCAATGCACTAATGTGGCAAGCACTCTATTCAGTAATAAAATAAAATACTGTACAGGGGGCCCCCAAATTCGCCGATTTTTATTTCGTGGTCCTCTATTATTCGCAGATAACACTCTGGATGTACCCAAGAATGTCTGTGGGTAGTTTTACAGTTGCTGGCATTTTCGCTGCGAGGACAGGGAGCCATTCGTTGTAGAGACAGTAATTTCCTTTGTTTATATAGTAAATATATGTGTGTGTGTGTGTGTGTGTAGACACAACACATACAAATACATAATAATGGGAAAATTCTCTCACAAATAATCAAAAACAAATTTATTAAAAACGTGACAGTCTACCTTCAAGTCCATGCTTTATTAATAAAGTAATAAAGCACAGACTTGGGGGTAGACTGTCAGAGTTTTAATAAATTTATTTCTGATTCTTTGTGAGAGTATTTTCCCATTATAGTAAGTCCTCGCTTAACTTTGTTTCGGTACTACATCGCTGAACTTTAGAGACCAAAAATTCGTTTAACGTACCGGTGATTCGATACTACGTTGTTTTGCGTTGTCACGGACTGCTTTCTACGGCGCATCACCTGCTCTTGTCTGGCCGCGCTACGCTCTCTCAGCTCGCTGCCCTCACTCGCGAAACGTCACGGCATCCCCAAGTAAAGCCAAGCCAGACTCTGTTACGACTTCACATCATAAGTGCTTTTGCTCTAAAACTGTACTCTAACCATTCGAAATGGCTTCCAAGTGCTCATCAAGTGCGACTGATGCTAGTGTAATGAAGAGGCAACGTAAGACCATTGCCCTTGCTACAAAAATGGATGTATTAACCCGATTTAAAAAAGGGGAACGTGCTGTGAACATAGCCGCTGTGCTTGGTCTAACCCCCACAAAGGTGCGTACTATCCGGACCAACGCTGACAAGAGTAAGGTTAGTGCTGGAAGTGGTTCTTCTCTGAGTGCTACTAAGACGACTCGTACTAGAAGCACCATGATAGAGAAGGTGGAAAAGATGCTGGCAATGTGGATGGAGGACCAGAATCAACGCAATGTTCCTGTGAGCCTTATGATTATCCAGCATAAGGCCAGAGGGTGAAGGATCGAAGGAAGAGACCTTTACGGCCAGCCGAGGCTGGTTTCAACGATTTAAGCATCGCTTTAACTTCCACAACATAAAGATGACTGGTGAAGCTGCCAGTTCAGATACGGTTGCTGCCGAGACATTCCCGCCAGAATTCAAACGGATTATCCAGCAAGGGAGCTACTCACTGAAGCAAGTCTTCAATGTGGATGAGACTGGTCTCTTTTGGAAGAGGATGCCTGAGAGGACCTGTATCTCCAAGGAGGAGAAAAGAGCGCCAGGTTTTAAAGCGGCAAAAGACCGCTTGACACTGCTGCTTGGCAACTTTAAAACTACCCACAGACATTCTTGGGTGCATCCAAGGTGTCATCCACGAATAACAGAGGACCACGAAATAAAAAGCAGCTTACTTGGGGGCCTCCTGTATGTGTATTGTCTTAAAAAGTAACATTTTAAAAACTATACTCAGATAACTGCTACATTACCAACATACTGAATCACATAGGCATTATTAAGACAATATTCTATGCCTACTGGATCAATTTTACTTATTAATTTTTGAAATTGCACAACAAAAACTTCCAATCTAAGGTATAGCCTTAAATTAACACTGAATACCAGTACCACACATCATCAATCTTATGTATACATGGTAATAAAAAATATATTGCCAGCATTGAAAACTTAAGTGTTGGTAAATATTGTCACACCAAACTACATAGTACCTCTTTGGTAAAGTGAAGATCCCCAATAAATTTGTTTTGCATTTCTGACTGGGTTCGTGACTGTAAGTCTCCCTGCAGCTCCAACATCACCCATTCCTCAAGTCCATCTTTATCCGTACTGAGGAAAGAAATGCATCAGGGTCTCATCAGCAAAATGGTGTGAATACCTGTTCCTTGAAGAAGAAAATTAAGTCTATCAAATGACACTTAGTTCCAAGTCTTAAATATGAGTGACAACTTATGTTGAACCATCACGATAAAGACATCCCTATCCACAATACAGTAGCTGCATTATCCTACTCTCACAGCAGCCTAAGACATACTGGTTTTTCCTCAAACATTTCAACTACCTGCCAGAGGTAGTACAGGTGATCTACTTACAAACGAGTTACATTCCTGAGGCTTGTTTGTAAATCCAACTCTACTCTTGTAGATACGAACATAGTACAGGGGTATTGTAAAAAAAAAAGAAAAAATGTTGGAAGTACAGTATCTACTGTACTGCTATACCCCAATAATAAATACAATATAGCATATTAATCTTACAGTATATCTTACCAGACTTTAACAGTAAATACTGTACTTTAATGTATAAATAGTAAATTGGACACATGGGCAGGTTTGTTCGTATCTCTGAAATTTCGTAAGAAGAGGAGCACCTGTAGTTATATATAAACCTCAGATGTTCACAGTACTGCTACAACGAAAAAACTTTTATCTTTAAAAATATACCATTAATGGGCAAAGTGAATGTGCTATTGAAACTGCCTAACAATTAAAAGTTGTCAGACCCGAGTGTATGCAGTGCAAGATTCCAGATTTGTAAACTACGGTACAAATTTTTTTTTTTTTACAAATAGTATAGGTAATGAAAAAATGTGTTTCTGCATCAATTAATTATCAATGCAGCAATACTGTACTGTACTAAAAGAGTCGGGGAAAGACCAGAGAAAAATCAGAGGTTAATATGAAAATAAAAGCTCACAGAAAATATATGATTTTTCAGTCGGACAGAATTGATAAAATCCAAAAGGGCCATTCTACATGGAAAGTGATAAAACTATAAAATTTCAAACCAATAATTCTAGAATGACATGCCATATACGAGTGTTAACTACAAACTATCCAGGAGAAATTTGTCAAGTTGAAATTTAACAATGACAACTCTCTGGGGTGAAGCTTTCAAAGTTACCATGGCTCAAGAAAAGGAAGTAAGGCTGCTGGGCCAAACATAAGACTTCATATGAAATTGGTAAAGATAATGCAATTACCTGTAGCTTAATGTACTAGTATTTATATATTAAAATAATCAAAAGTGCCATCTTCAAGTCTGAGGGATGGTGACAATGGTGTTATACCTCAAAATTTTTGGGCTCTACCCATCCTCCCAGATACAGTACAGTCTCAACTCCACTTATGATGGGGTTCCGTTCCGACGACCAGGTCGTAAGTCAATCGAGTCGTAAGTCGAACCGAAGAAAATAATATGTAGTGCAGGTAATAATTGTAAAACTTTTACCTTTTTAATACAAAATCTGAGTGGGATATAACGTGGATGCTGTACACACGGGGTAGCGTGCCAGCCAAAGTTGTAGTAAGGCGTCGTTAGACATTATGACCAAACGTCTAGACTCGAAAATAATGTAAAATATTTTAATATAATATAACAACAATGACCGTCGTAATTCTGGGTTGTTGTAAGTCGCACATGTCGTAAGTTGAGGAGAGACTTTACATCTCTCTCCTGGTGGTAGTGCTGTTTTCAGTAATTATTGCATAAACTCCTCCTCACACTTGGCAATTCCCCAAATTTTACCGGGTTGAAGTGTTCAAAAAAGAAGAAATTTTAAGGTACTGTGCTGCACTTATTTGCTTTTGCCAACCTGCTGTGAATCACTTCTCGATTATTATTTGGTGTCATAAAGTAAAAAAAAATTGGTAAACTTAGTTTAATCTGAGTTGTGTTAGGTTAGGTTAGGTTAGGTTAGGTTAGGTTAGATTAGAATAGATTAGGTTAGGTTAGGTACATGCACTTGATCTATTAACTCAGATTAAATTAAGTTTACCAATTTTTTTTGACTTCGTGACACCAAATACTAGTCGAGGTTAGGTTAGGTTAGGTTAGGTTAGGTACATGCACTCGATCTATTAACTCAGATTAAATTAAGTTTACCAATTTTTTGTGACTTTGTGACACCAAATACTAGTCGAGAAGTGATTGGCCGTCCGATTTATTCATCTAGGACCATTATTTGACTTCATTCCGGCTATATTTGGCGACATTTGGGTACATTTGGGTAATTAGTCGGACCGAGCTTCCCCGATGACCGTAACTGAAATATTACTCTAAAATACCATAAAATTAAAACAGGGTAGTTCATGCAATACATAGCACAATGTCTCGGTTTTCTTACATTTTTATAGGTATCTGCATTGATAAATCTCTTGCCTTCTCACTACTTTATATTTGTTGTGAACTTATATCCACTATAGAATATAACTTTGTAAATATATATTAAGATAAGGAGGACTGTTGGTTACTCGGGGCCAGTCCCTCGAAATACTAATTGGCAATTTGGTCATTAGTCAACACACACAATCACTAGATGTCCTTACCATCGCCGTAGCTGTAGATGGAGAGAGTTCAACTAATTAGGCACCATATTGTTACTCAGCGGCTCTATTATATGCTTAATAGTGCCTTTAATATTTTGACTCAAAGTGTACATAGGTATAACCAAGGATTCTAATAGAGTAGTATTAAAATCCTTGGTACAACCTTGCTCCACCATAAACCTGATATTTTTTTTATTTTTCATTAACTTTCTTTATAGCATTTACGAAAAATTTAATTAAAATTTCTTATACACATAATCAGTTGAAAGTGTAAATAGTAAATTACGGTAACAATATAAAAAAAAGGCACATCTGGCATAAAAGAGAGTCTACCTGGAAATTGAAAAAGTTATCTCGTTTTCTATTATTTGTCCATATAGTGTTGGAGGAGGTGAAGGTGACATGTGGCAGGTCCAGCGTCACTGTTTTCTATCTCAACCTTCTTCTCTTAGTATCATTCAGAGACTAGACCACGCTGGGAACACATATAAACACAAGTTGTAAGAGAAACTTCTATATATGTATGATATACTGGAAAGTAGATCTAAACATTTAAAAGAATAATGGGAGAGTATACCATTCATAATGTCCGGTTTTATGACTTTGAACCTAAAGCCATACAATGTATGACTTATGAGGACGAAACAAATAGACTGGCACTATCGAGGTAAGTACCTTTGGGTAACGAAATGGAATTTTAACTTTTTCCGGTGGCTTTTGATGTCTTGTGAACGAATTTGACCTTCATTTCTGGTGCAAATCAATAGTTTATGAGGTAACCCCCCTTCCGCCTGCCTCACATCTCAGAATCTAGAAATTTGCTATAAAATCCAAGGGTAAATATTCGTCCATTGGCATTTCTCAGGTTTTGGTACGAGAATAGGTCAGTCGTCAATAATTAACTACGTTTTTTTTTGTGTGTGTTTTATACTCAAATTGACCTTTTTTTTGTAAATTATCAGTTTTGCAAAAATTAACAGCTTCATTTTTAACAAACTCCTAATTTGCCAAAAAAATATGGTAGTCAGAATTGGGTAAAATACACCAAAAACACACACAAAAAACTAATCTTATATCAAAGGAACCTAACCTACCCTGCAAGGAGGTGGGTGAAAGGAAACAATTGACTCATTGAGGGGTACGACTAATTACCCAAATGTACCCAAATGTAGCCGCAATGAAGTCAAATAATGGTCCTACATGAATAAATCGGAATGCCAATCACTTCTCGACTGGTATTTGGTGTCACGAAGTCACAAAAAATTGGTAAACTTAATTTAATCTGAGTTAATAGATCGAGTGCATGTGCCTAACCTAACCTAACCTCGACTAGTATTTGGTGTCACGAAGTTACAAAAAATTGGTAAACTTAATTTAATCTGAGTTAATAGATCGATTGCATGTACCAAACCTAACCTAACACAACACAACTCAGATTAAATTAAGTTTACCAATTTTTTGTGACTTTGACACCAAATAATAACCGAGAAGTGATTCACAACCCGATTTACGCTTGTAGGACCATCATTTGACTTCATTGCGGCTACATTTGGGTAATTACTCGCTCCCTCGGTACATGCACGCGATCTATTAACTCAGATTAAAGTAAGTTTTCCAATTTTTTGTGACTGTGTGACACCAAATACTAGTCGAGAAGTGATTAGCAGTCTGATTTATTCATGTAGGACCATTATTTGACTTCATTGCGGCTACATTTGGGTAATTAGTCGGACCGCTCATTGAGGAGTAAACATGGTGGGAACCTGCGGACAGGCAGTGTATGAATATTAACCAAATCAAGGTAAAAAGTGTTGAAAACATAAAAACCCATCGGAAAACAATTTTGAATTTAACCTAACCAACCAAATCTAACCTAGGTGAAGGTGTAGAAGAGGGTGACCACCAGAAGGAATTGTCCGAATTGGTTGAAATTTTTTTTTACACACTATTATCATGATGTTAAACACAAAAATGGAAACGACAATGCATAGAACCTAACAGAACCTGACCTTATGTACCCAACCTATGGGTTTGTTAGTTGTGGTTTTATTAGGTTCTATGCTTTTTTTTATAATGCTAATACGTAACATGATATTAAACACAGAAATGGAAACGAGAATGCATAGAACCTTATAGAACCAGACAATCTTTTTATTTACTCTATCCCTCTTCACAATTCTCCTGGAGCCATTTTTGTTTACCTCGCTGAATCCTTTTTCAAGAGACATTCCTAGATGATGGTGAAAGCTTTCACGTATTCCTCGTAGCCATTGCTAATGTATATCATCCTCAATATTAAGGTAAGTTGCTTAACACATAAGTTAACATGATAATGCATAGAACCTGACCTAACAAACCCATAGGTTGGGTATGTTAGGTCAGTTTCTTTTAGGTTCTATGCATTGTTTTCATTTTTGTATTTAATATATGATATTAGTGTGTGGAAAAATTTTCAACCAATTCGGACAATTCCTTCTGGTGGTCACCCTCTTCTCCACCTTTACACTAACTTAACCTAACTGGGAGCTCCACAGGCGATTGATGTTCTGGGTGTGCACTGCCATGTACAGACAATATAAGTAATTAGTGGCAGAAATGCCATTAAAGGAAATTGTCTTCGAATTGTCAAGGTTGCCAATTGCAACTAGAAATTTTACGAGATTTGTTTAGTGGTAACAAGTGAAAGGTAAAATTTTGGTTGATGTACAACTGGTTTCTGTCTGCGGTTCTGTAGTTATGGAGGGTGTTTTTAGACAGTTTTGTATGCTATTTACTTTCACTTCTATTCACTTTCTTGTGTAAATGCCAAATTTTCTAGATATAGGCAAGTTAAGATGGGGTATGCCCATTTCGTCACCACTGTTTTCAACCCGTTTCTTGACCACTGCCTTACCTGTTTCGTCACCGCGTTCATTCCCATCAATATTTACACGAAAATAACTTGCTTTGGATAGCAAATAATAAAAAACACTAAGACAATTTATTAAAGACAAAAATGTAAAATAAAAACATTGTTAATATGCCTGCAATCATTTCACTTAAACAATAATCATTATATATACATGAAAACAACTGTTGCTTGGGATAGAAAATACTAAAAAACACTGAAACAATATTGGAAAGACTAAAACATTGTTAAGACGCAACAGGCTATGTGGCCCGGTAATATTTACCAATGTTTAATCAAAACGCCTAGTTTACAAAATTGTACAGTATTACGAAATTATGCTCGGCATTACAATACATTGGATCATGCAAGCATCTCACTAAGACAATTTATTAAAGATGAAAATAAGAAAATAAAAACATTATTACTGATGCAAGCATCTCACTTTAACAATTTATTAGACTAAAACGGATTTGATATTGGTGACAAAATGGGATTTTGGTGACGAACCGGGTTGGTGGCGAAATGGGGTGTATCCATTAAGGTATAGGTTAGGTTTGGCTTGCACAACACATGATTTCAGCCATTTTTATATATTTTTTCCCAACGTAGTACAGTATCCCCTAATAAAACAATAAAACTTTTTAATGAAAAACAGCCAGATGGTCGTTTTCTGAATAAATACCAAATTTTCATACATAATAATTGTTAGATATCCGGCTTATATGTAATTTGTGCCAGAAATGCCGTTGAAGAAAAGTGTCGTGGACTTGTCAAAATTACTGGCAACAAGTGAAATAATCTCTAATGGGCTTGCTTTCAATACCCCTACGGTATTTGTTATTCCCAGGAGCAACAATAATTTTTTTGGTAAAGGTGGAATAGATGACTAACACCAGGAGAAGTTTAATTTTGTTAATTTTTTCCACGTGTTCTTTGGATGATAGTAATAAAAATGGTATTATTTTAGTTTTGATCATCTGGGGAATCTTTGGAATTTAACTACGTATTGGAATCAGCAGTTTAGACAATTCTAAGACACTTTTCTTCAATAGCATTTCCGTCACAAATTATTCAGGTTGCATTAGGTTAGGTTAGATATCGAAACTATATTTTCCGATGGTTTTGATGTGTTTTGGAGTGTTTGAAGTATAGGAAGCTAGTTTTTTGCGCATCATACAGCCTGCCAACACACCATACAGGCGTCAGACTCTGTGTCTTTTCAGTGGAGATAACATCTTGCTTGAGACTCACTTCAACTAAACTCTTTTTTTCTGTGTTTCCAAGCAAATTATTGGTCAATTTGAAATTTATTTTACATATTGACAATATATAATGCAGTGCAGTGTTGATTTAAAGAAAATAATCTTGAATTACACCAAGAGAACTAAAATTTTATGGGTGAAATGGCACCATGGGGTGATTTCTCTTCCACCCCAATGCCTTCTCTTCTCCCTTCTCCTCCACCCTCATTCTAATTCCCATCATCATCATCCAGGAGCCTTCTACATACACACCTCAAAGTAAGTGTACTTTACTACCTTTTTTGTTGATTTTAGGCAATCGTCGGTGAGCTGGAACCGATTACCCAAAAACCCATTGAAATAATGTGCTCGTTAACCGAGGGACCACAATATCATTAATGAGTTTAGTCTCACAAAACCCAAGTACATAAAATTTGTGGGCAATAGAAGATGTACACAGACCTATAAAGGTATCTAACTGAAGGGGAATACTGCTGATGTTTTGGCTGATTAAGGAGAAGGAATGAAGTAGAACGTGGATATAACACGAGATAAGTTCCAAGAGATGTCATTTTAAATCAAATTCGCACAAAATCGAAGTGTTGTTTCAATGGAATAATTTAGTTTGGAACTCGAGAGAAACACAAAAATCTAAAAAGACATTTATTAACTAATAAATGTGAGAAAAATATATGGTGTAATGATATATATGCAGCAAGCACTCCCTGCAGTCGAGTTGAGAGCTGGACGGTACTGTTACTGTGTGGTACTGTACTGTCTGCTGCCTTGCATCTCTGGCCCTTCCCCTGCGCCGACTGAGAGTTTACCCAGATGCACCTCAGCCCATTGAGAATAAACAAAACATTGTTTTTTGTATGTTTATGCTAAAACAAACACTCATAAATCAACACAGCTAATATTACGGGATGCGAAATGGTCTTTTTACTTGCGATCAGCTGGTGTGAAAGGGTGGTCGCGCTGGTGCCGCCCACCGCCCGTCTCTCGCCTGCCTCACTCCATCCCTACCACTCACCATGCACTTTCACTTTCCTCTCAACTTAGTTTTTCATTACTTTATGCTATCAAAAATTGATTTTAAACCACCTTTAGTTAGGCAAGTCATCCTCTGAAGATGCAGAGCCCAACTCGACCAGCTTATCATCCACATCATTGTCTTGTGGTGTGGCTGTGGATGCATCTGACATGCGCGATGCACTGGATGACAGCTGTGCCTGCCCAGACGTAGATGGGCCAGCTACCCCAAGAGCTGAAGGAATGGAAAACATTCATTAAATTATTGAATTTCTATCACATAATTATTACATATCGTGCATCCAAAATTTAATGTTTGTTTTTCCAAGCAATAAACACTCAGTTTCATAACAAACTCACCTGATCAGGATAATGGACGGAAGAATGCGGTGATTTTCTTCTGTTGCTGTGCCATAACCATCTGATCTAGCAGCTGAGAATACGTAGATGCAACCCAATTCAACGCCTCCACCACTTGCAAACTGCGTTCCATATCAGGGTCATGTTGCAGTGCAGACTGGGTGGCAGAAGTGACGTGCTGCATGAACTCCCTTAGCTTAGGAATTGTCAGTTCCTTCCTCGCTGTTTGGGACTTAATCACTTCCTTAACGAGCTTCAAAATGTCTTTCATGTCCTCGCCTTCATCAAAGCCCTTGAAACCATGGACTACCTGAGGCCACAGATTATGTCACACTCCATTTAGTGCAGTTTCTGGCACACTTTTCCACGCAAGTGCGATGTTAGCTATGGCATTTTTGATGGTTTAGCTCTTCGAAAATGTTGCTGCAGTTATATTGTTGTCCTTGTTCATAGCTTCAGCCATTTGCTTCAAGGTAAACTTGAGATAATATCTCTTGAACAAGGCAATAACACCTTGATCTAGTGTCTGAATAAGTGAAGTCACGTTTGGAGGGAAGGAGGCTAAGTTTACAGCCTTACCGTATTCACACTGCACAGGTGTTTGGAGTGGCAAGATGCATTGTCCATGAGAACCAAGGCCTTGTTGCTCAGGTTCAGTTTTTTTTAACATTTTTGATGAATAGGGTGGCATGGCTGATGTACCACTCATCGAAAATATCAGAAGTCATCCACGCCTTCTTGTTTGATCACCAGATTGCAGGAAGTTTCGGGATGAGCACATTTTTCAAGGCACGAGGTGTAACTGAGTGGTGTATGACGAGTGGCCTCATTCTTGCAGTACCTGATGCGTTGGCCATAAAGGAGAATTGTCAGTCTGTTCTTGCTGACCTTGAATCCTGGAGCCTTTTTTTCACTCTTCATTAGATAGGTTTTCTTGGGCATTCTTTTCCAATACAGCCCAATTTCATCACAATTCCACACTTGGCAAGGAAAATAACCATTTTCTAACACTATATCCTTCAGAACTTTCTTCATATTCTCAGCCGCCTCCACATCGGCAGATGCAGCTTCACATGAAAGCGTCACATTCCGTAGCCCCGCCCTTATCATATATTTGTACAGCCAGCCTGTAATTGCTGTGAACTTGCTGTCTTTAATGGACTTCCCTTCCTTTTCAAGTATCCGAAACTGTATTTCGTAGGCTTGGTTTTGCAGCATGAGGCCACTGAGAGGAAGTTTTCGGCACTGCATGTCTTCTACCCCTAACTTAAGTGCATCTTTCATCTCAACTTACATAGCAGACTTCAGGTGGAGTTTACCCTTGGCAACATCTGGTGAAGCATAGGTCGCTCTGATTTTCTTCTCGTTGAGCTTGATAATGCGGACAGAGCTCTGGCAATCCAAATTGGCGCCTCACACTTGATTTATTTTCTTTATACAGAGTAGTCTTATTCTTAATTCATTTTTTTTATGCTGATGTTAAAGCCAAAACAATAATGAAGCCAGTGATGTATAAATGATGCAAAAAAACTAAACAATTTCTTGTGGGATGAATTGACCAGACCTCACATGAGTGGTTCTTTACGATTTTTTTTGTCACAGAAACTTAAAAAAATATATTGCCTGCATGAGAGGTTAATAACTAAAAAAACCTAATCTCTACTATTTACATTGTTTGATTTACATGTTTTTATTTTACATGACCATTTTCAAGAATATACAAGTAATTATTGCGTAACTCAAAAGGTTCCTGTACGGTACAAGTTTTTGTAGATGAAATATCAGCCCAAGTACTGTACTGTACAGTACTCCAAAATTTCCAGTCAGGAGCATATCCACCCCTTACTACATTCTTTCTTACGGGAAAATTAGGTTTACAATTACAAAATGCAATTTTGCAATTAGCAAACATTTTCAGGAATGTGCCCCTTATGATGAGTGATAGCTGCTTGCATTAATTACATTCACATTTTTAAAAAAAAGTTATTTAATAATGGATTAAAAGGTACAGCAGCTAAAACAACTAATATCTGTGCAGGTGGGGGTCGATATACTCCGAAATTTTACGTGTGACTAGTGACAGACCTCATATATCAAAATTTATCGTCCATGGTCTCATATTGTTTCCCACAAAGTATGCACTGACAGTTGTTTTAGCTACTGTACATATTACAGTATTGTACTTATGTGTATGGTATAAAAGGAATATAGATTCGTCTAGTCACATTGATCATTACTCTTTACATTTGCAGGGCTGATGGTACTGTTGAAATATGGAACTGTAACTGTCAGAGTCGACCCTTCCTTGAGCTTGTTATTTATGGTAAGTTAAGAATGTGTCAACACATTACTATGTAAGAACATACCGTACTGTACTGTACCTATTTTTATGCATTGTGATATCTCCATTCGCCGGAACAATTGGTGCAGAGCACTTTTGGGAATGTGAGATTTCCAGGTGACGAGACCCACCAGTTCTTCATTACTTCTCACTTTCAACTGATTGGTGAATGTTTTAATAAAATAAAATTATTATTAAGTCAATTGTATTTCAACAAAAATATATAGTACAGTACAGCAGTACAGTACTGAAAATCAATCTCTTACCTTATCCCGTGATGATGATGACTGAGCACAGCACGGCTATGTTGTTGTGAAGCCGCCCTGCTCCACATTTTTAAAGATCAGAATCACATTGAAATATTACGCAACTGTTAGCATTGGCGGGAAAAATGTGAAGTTGTTCGCAGTCATATTTCCCCCCTTTGCTGACAGCCGTGTAATATTTCAATGTGATTTTGATCTTTAAAAATTTTGTTTTTGCATAATGTAGTATTACTGATAAGTAATTTGTCTTAGTATGCCTTATTGTGGGTAAAAATAAGTACGTATATATTAAATGTATCCTCCGAAAGCGTGAATTTGCTACCAGAGTTTAACAGTTAATCCATGTACTGTATAATACTTCTGATAAACTTCCTACATGCTTATGTTTGAAATAATGAATGTATGTATCTAGATAATTTAGCTAAATATCTTTCTCGTCAGAAACGCTCATCTCAATGATTATGATTAAACTCATTTAGAAATACCTCATTACTTCAGGACAAAATCGGACAGGTTTGCAACAGCTAATCAGCTGTAACTTTTCAGGAGGGGGCGGGGCATCTTTTCTCAGCTGGGAAAAGACGTGCTATAGTAAGATATTTTTTCTATTTTTTAATCCGTACTTGGTCAGGTTATGGATTGTTAAGTGTCATTCCCTTTTTTGGCTTAAAAGGTTTAGTTTGGTGTCTAAAAGCTTAGAATACTGTAAATTAATTTTGGCAGTACAGTACACTATTTTCAAGCTCCCATGTCAGAAGGTTGGGGCAGGAGGTGTGGCATAACATACCGTGTTGCCAGACAGAGTCATGATTTCTACCCCTGGACTTATGTCTTTACTGTTCCCCTCACATAATTTGATAATTTTTTTGGTCTAATTCATAACAGTGATAAGTGTATCAGTTACAGATTTATTGCTTCTCACTAACATTGTTTACATTATGAACTCTCAACATATCTTCCTTCCTATTGCTATTCATACAAGCGCGGCCCCTCAAACATAAATATCATTGTTTTTAACGAAGGTTTCTTACTTTTACAATGATTATATAATGTAAGTATTTACTACATATTTACAGTGTTTCCTTTTCTGTTTAGTAGTTTATGATGGTATAATATTTCTCAAAGCAGAACATCAACCACAGTGAAACAATCACACTCGTTGCAGCAATACCAAGTTTCTTTGCACACTTTTTTAAGTTACACCTGTGTTCTAGCAATGTGACAAGGTCTGGGCATATTTCATAACCTGAGTTGAGGGCAGCAAATTTGGAAAGCGGTGTGGAGGAACCGGGTGTGTGGGTGTAGTGGTGGCAGGGTCAGTAAACAAAGCCCTGCGCTTCCTCTCACTCTCCGGCTCCCTATCATACCTTGCCTAACACCATCATCTGATTTAGAAGAGGGTTTTGGAGGAACAGAGGTTGCTGAAACAGGCTGATGCATCTTAAGGGGTTGCCACTTGTCATATTTTAGATATATTAATCCTTCTCAGCCATTTCAGAGGTCACGGAAATTTTAAGAAGTCAAATTCGTTGATCTACGTAATGACCGCACAGAGAAGGCCACTTGCATATGTAGAGCTATGAATTTGACCAGGAATGAATTAAATAATTTTTTCCAAGATTCTGTGTCACATGGCAGTAGTAACCAATTGTAGCTCACGATCATTCTGAGCCTAACCACCTACATGCACGGCACATGTTGTAATCGCTTGGAAATTCATTAAAAATCCCAGAACGGAGATTTTTCTCATAATGCAAAATTTGTATTTTCTGAGTAATGGAAAGTTCCGGGATTAAAGATTCTGGCAAACAGGGAGATTACATTATTGTGCAAGACTGCATGTTATTTTCTTGTTAATTTTTAAGGAGGACATACAGTTCATGTATTTTCAAGTTTAAGATAATTTCTCATAGTGATACACATTTTTGTTTTAATTTTACTACCTGTTGAAAAAATTTACCGTATATGTTTTAATTACAGTACAATATTTAGTGTAATAATCATAATCTTCCAGGTGATGATGGTTGTTCTGTTGAGGCGCTGGTATGGTGCAGAGGACGATTATTTAGTGCGGGACTACATGGCTTTGCTTTGGAATATGATTTGACTACTGGTGGCATTAAATCACGCATAGCAGTCACTGGTGGTCCCACCTGGTGCCTTGCACTGTCTGCTGATAGGCAGAAGCTAGCAGTGAGTATCTGCCAATACTGTAATACACCATTTTTTAAATGGATATGGCAGTAGCTGTAGATTAGGAATATCTGTTTTAAGAACTTTTAAATTTCTCTCTTAACTTATTCTAAACTTGATATGGCTTTTTCTGGTCACAGTGAGGGTTGGAAGTTGATGACCTGCAATGTCAAACTGGTTGACATTGAGGGTGTTCTATGAGTTCAATTGTTCAGCTGTCACCTTCCTGATGGTGAGACAACTGGAAGTATTTTCATGTGTAAATTGTAGAAGTATGGTGAAGAAGTGATGACATAGGAGTCATTTCACATACTTTTCAAATACTCGTTGGGTTAGTGAGTTTAACACGTCTTGGATGGTGAACAGGAATAAGAACATTTGTTTGTTTGTTTGACTTCCAAAATTGTGACTTGTATGTATGGATATTCTAGAGTTAATTCTCTTGTGATTTAGTATTCAGAGTCCAGTTATCCTATGTATACGCATACCAACAGATGTGTTACTGAAAAATTATGGCATCAGTGAAATTAGTACATTATTTGTGAATTTTAATATTTCACTGGAAAATAAGATGATGCATTGCAACCCATTCCACCACTCGCTATAAAATGCTCTCTGGGGAAGTTTTCTGCCAAATTAAATTACTTCTTTACACCTGTAAATTCTATTAAGATGAGCAACAAATGTTATTACAAAATATTGAGTCACTTTACAACCAAGCATACCAACCATTCTAAGATGACATGAGCCATAGTGCTCATTCTGAAATCTGTCGTGCCCATCTGTTCGAGAACTTTTTGTTGCGAGTGTACATGCTAAAAGTGTTTCTCATATGGCCATTAAGCTTTGCAGACAAATCACTATTGTTCCACTGATTTTTTCAGTATTACAGCAGATCAATCTTGATTTATTTGCTTTGTAAATTTGACCAAGAGGTATGGCATCTCACCATAGTGTATCTTTTTTTAAATTTTCACTTTTGTGTCCAGTTACAATAACTTCTTGGATCTCTTTTGTGATTCATTTCTTGTAGGATTTCCTGCATGCTTAGGGCTGTAGTACTGGTTTAGATCAAAAAATAATCCTCTGGGAAAGGCTGTACCCACTCAAGACAAACACCATGAGTGTACAGTACTGGCTTGCTGGGTTTGTTTATGTCTCACCCACAATTACATATAGTACTTTGCAGCTGAAGTATGCCCAGGAAACAGCTGCTCCACCTTGATTTTTCATGGTTTTCCAAGTTTAATTTCTAAATCATTCACTTGTAAACCATCCATAGTATTTGTGAAATTTTTGGTGTGAATTGTTCACCTGTGAATTCCGATGGATGGTAAAATCAACATTTTTGTAGTGCATTTTGTTGGTTCCATTTTTGGTTTCACTGCTGTTGTGTCCATCTTCCCGTGTAGCATATTTATGAAAAAATTCAAAATTATGTATGCATTTAACGACTGACAAAAAATATTTTATTTGCAGGCAGGTACAGAGGGAGGCTATGTGTGCATATTTAATGTTATGGATGACGGTATATTGTACAACAAAACCCTGGAGAAGCAAGAAGGTTAGTCTTAGTCTTTTGATAATTTCTCAATGATTTAATATTTGAATTGAATTATTTTACTGTCTTTGAAATGATGATATAAGTAGTCCTCCGTTTTCTCTCAATCTTAGAGTGCACCCGAGACTTTTTTATTCCTTAGTAATGACACCGAATTTGAAATTGCAACTGGGGTTGCAATTGTAATGAACTGACCTTAAACCTTGAGAAAACCCACTACATGATCTTTCACAGAAGAAAAAACATACTCCAGACCTGAACCCCCTGTACCTTGGTAATATAGTCCTCAAACGCGAACAAAATACTAAATTCCTCGGAGTTATTGTTGATGAAAAACTTAACTGGAGAAACCACATACAAGCCATTCACAGTAATATCAATAAACAGTGCAGTATCATGTATCACACTCGACAGTCACTCACTCTCACAGCAATGAAAGAAATCTATCATGATCTTGCTTACCAACACCTGATACACTGTCACACACTATGGGGGGCCTCTGGCTCTTCAAAAACACAATCTCTGGTTACTGCACAAAAGAGAGTTGTATGGACAATGACCTACTTGAAAAAAACAGATCACACAAACGAAAAATTTGCCATATTGAAATTTTTAAAATTCGAGGATATTAACACTTACTGCTGTGCCCTCTGTGTTTACAAATCTATCAATCACTTGCTTGACAATAATTACTTCCAGTTCCGGAATAATCAGAGATACAACTTAAGGCACCCAGAGCTCCTAAGACCACCGCCCATGCGCTCCTCTCAGTCCCATACCTCCATAAAATATCATGGTGTGAAGGTGTGGAACAACTTAACCCCACACATCCTAGCAAAGACTACGCTCCCTTCCTTTAAATCATCTCTAAAAAAATATCTATTGTCGAAGTATTAATACTTCTTGTAAAACTTACTATATTTACAGTACCTGCTTTTATTGTACCATCAAAACCGTTTTATCGGAAATTATCATGTAAATAAATAAGTAATTACCATTGCAATATACATAATTGCCAATTAGACATAATCCTGAAAGCTCTGTCCTCTTGTCCAACCTCATTACTGTACAACCCAGGTTGTACTGCTCCCCCATTATACTTATGTTTTTAAATTCCTCTCTAATTTATATATATATATGCACACAGTCATGCGCTGATTAACGTCCTAGATACGTTCTTGGAAACGTGACGTTAACCGAAATGGACGTTGTCCGATCATCACATAAACTTTGTATTTATACTTACGTGTATGTGGAATACTATATACGTACATATACACTTTTACTCTTAAATCACTACTGTAATGTGATACAGGTGATTAATTTTTATCTCTTGTGCAAAATACATGACGTTTATATTAAAATTATTCACTGTTTTACAAGGATTCCAGCAACGCCGGGCAGATGGGGGAGAGAGAGAGGGTGGGAGCGAGCGAGGGGGCGTGGGGGGAGGGGAGGTAGTACGTTTGACAGCTGGCACAGGCCTAACGCGTGTATATTTATCAGTTCTTAAGTGACTAAGCTTCTCTCTTATAAAAAGCCATTGAAATGACCTGGGTGAATATAATTAAAATTGCTGGGATTCTTGTAACATCCTGATTAATTTGAATATAAACATGCTATAATTTGCACTAGACAAAACAATTTTAGTATTGTAATCAAATTAGTACATGTGCACTTCAGCTTTGCACTAAGGTCATTTATTTCTATTACGTTTCTTTTAGTATGGTGTGTGCATGTAAATGGATGAAAATAAATGAAGAAATCTATGTAAAACTGTAAATCTACCCAAAAATACAGTTGAAAAACTTTTTTTAAAAATGTACTACAGTATTGTACACTAATGTACAACAATTTTTATCTCTTGAGCAAAATATATGACGTTTATATTCAAATTAATCTCTGTCTTGCAAGGATTTCAGCAATGCAAATTATATTATCCTAACTTTAGTCTGAGATATTATATAAAATAAACATAAAGAAATCACCAATCTTTTGTCTGGGAACACAAGGAAGGAAGTAGCCAGGAGCGTGTGGGAAGAGGGGGGGGAGGTGAGGTGACAGAATGTCTGGCGTTTGTTTGTTTATTTATTTGAGATAAGATTTGACAGTTGGCGCTGAAGGCCTGTGTGTGTGTTTATTTATCATTACTTAAGAGTGACTAAGCTCTTCTCATAATTTGCCACCCAAACGACCTGGGTGAATATAACTTACATTGGAGGGATTCTTGTAAGATAGTAATTTATTTGAATACCTGTATAAACAAGCTATATTTGCAATAGACATAACAATTTTAGTACCGTAATCATTTAGTACATGTACAATACAGGTTTGCACTTAGGTCCATTGTTACTGTACAATATTGACTAAATTCACTAGATAACGTACGCCTGGCAGCACAATCTATAAGAACACGCGATGCATACATGACTGTGTCTGCTCTAGGGCCATTTAGGTTCACCAGGTCCCATTATTTGAATGTTTTTTTTTTCAATTTAAATTTTAATTGTTTATTCCTTGATAGAGGAAGCGGGATCCTAGTGCTGTCACTTGGTACCCCTGTACCATAACACCAGAAGCAACTGGCCAGTGTCACAAGTATATACAGTCATCCCTTGGTTATCGCGCCTAATTGGGACCCCGCCGATAACGAAAGTACAGAACCTATGGGATTTATTCTAATTGATTCCAGGCACCCAAGACCCAACCCCAAGTTTCCCATTTTGGGACCATTTAGACCCACTAAATATATATATAATGTTATGGTAAATATCATAAACACACATAGGCATGGCTAGGTTTATTACAAAGTGATGAAAAGGGTACGCTTAATACTGTAGTCCACAAAACATGTAGCTATGCTTTTTTTATTTGGTCCCCCGTCATATGAGTCCGTTTTCTCTCACATCAGGATGCCTGAGTCCTCCGTTTTCTCTCTTAATCTTAGAGTGCACCAGAAACTTTACTATTTTTAGTAATGCCACAGAATTTGAAATTGCAACCCCAATTGCAACTGGGGTTGCAATTGTTGAGGCAACTAGATATGTCTGATTACAGCAAATGTGTTATTGTCAATTTGTAGGTGAAAGATTTTATCCTCAATAGATGTAGGTTAACATTTCACCTGTAGGCAAATGCTTAAAAAAAGCCTAAGTAAGGAAGCATATTCTTTTAACACATAATATCTGACCAGTATGGGGAGGATCATCGTGTCTCCGTTAGGGGGTCGTGGAGTGCTGGTCCAGCAGGCGTCACTTTTTTGGGGGGGGGCCATGGACGTATATGCGATCGGACGTTGTTCGGTTGGACGTTAACCGGCGCATGACTGTATATATATATATATATATATATATATATATATATATATATATATATATATATATATATATATATATATATATATATATATATATATCTATATATCTATCTATCTATCTATCTATCTGTCTGTCTATCTATCTATCTGTCTATCTATCTATCTATCTATCTATCTATCTATCTATCTATCTATATATATATATATACTGTATATATATATATATATCTATCTATCTATCTATCTATCTATATATATATATATATATATATATATATATATATATATATATATATATATATATATATATATATATATATATATATATATATATATATATATATATATATATATATATATATATATCCTAATTGTCTCACTCACTGCTATTTCATGTTCAATTGACTGTTTTTTAACTCACTTAAGGAATTATGGAGATATTTTACATTAAGCTAGTACAGGTATCCCACTGGAAGCTAAGAGCACTCTTGAAGTTGGAGTGGAGGCATCACTCTGACTCACAGCTTCACAATGTAAGCTTCACATCTAGAGACACTGATGCCTGGGTGTCTTGGCCTTCACAAGTATTTTCAAAGTTTTACTGTTGACTTCACAGTAACAAAAACAAAGCAAAAGCTCTTTTCACAAAAACAGAGTAAACAATAATAATGTAAAAACAATGATAGTGGCCAACACGGCCCACATCATGTTCACATCAACAGAAGCAAAGTGCAGTACTTTACAGTCACAAAAAACAGCAAAACTCAATTTATATTCACCAAAACAGAGTACAATGTGAACATTAGTGATGTCCTCCCACTGTATAAAAAACGATTGTGGCCGATAATCATTGAGCTACACATTCACGGGCATGTGTGATATTCATGGAACAAAGTTTGAGACTATGCACTGGGTAAACCGCAGCTGACAAGTGCACCGAAAGATGCATTCCATATTCCGCATTGGTTAGACGATGACCATTGTGAATGCAAATTTTTTTATTGTAAATAGGAGGTTGGTCTTAAAACATTACCACTGTTCAAGTGAAATATTTTAAATAGGGAGATAGTAAATTGGGGGATACCTGTACTTCTGTCAGTACCATACTTTTTTATATCTTTCAGCTAAGTATTGTATGTGTCTGTTTTATCTGTAAATACGAAAATAATTTTTTAATATATGCAGTATTAATGAACTATTAGTATAAGATAAAGCTTTAATATGCTTTCATGTAATAATGTTGGAATCTTCTCTATATTAGGAAGGATACTGAACATCTGCTGGCACCGCAATGGGGACTATATTGTGACCGGCTCTGTTAATTGTATCCGTTTGTGGTCCTTGAAGGAAGGGCGGGTAAGAATCTCTCTCTCTCTCTCTCTCTCTCTGGATCACATACACCTACTTTGATTTATTTGCACACACACTCCAGTTATAAAAGTCATAAATTTCATATGGTACTGAAACTGAATTATAAAGTCATAAACTTCATTTGATGTTGAACTGTACATCCAGATAGATATGAACATATCAGAAGTTTCATGAAAGAGAGGGTCTGCTGTATTGGTTCAGATCTGCACAGTTGCAACCAAAAGAACTCTTAAGCATATTAAATTGGCTTTAGTTTCTTTAATATTCCATTACGGTAAGTCCTCGTTTAACGTTGCCTCCGACAACGTTGTTTCGTTATATTGTCGCTACCCATGATTTCGACAACGTCCCGACCGATTTGTTATAACGTCGCCACGGACTACTTTGTATGGCGCATCATCCTCTCGCATCTTTGCGCGCTGCGCTCTCTCACAGAGTGCCACAGCGTCCCCAGCCTTTGTTAGGCTTCCACAGCATACGTGCGTGCTTAAGTGTTTTTGCTATAAATACTATACTTTAACCATTTGAAATGGCTTCCAAGCGCCCATCAAGTGTTGGTGATTCAAGTGTTGTGAAGAAGCAACGCAAGACCACTTGCTACGAAAATGGAGGTTTTAAACACACCACACACTCGCTCAACCTCTGCTCATTAGTTTATTTATCTTTTTGTATGTATAATATTTATTTTCTATAAAAATTCCATTGAATTTATGTTTATGTAATGTATTTTATGGGGCAAAGGGAGGCTGGGGAACATAACTAGTGTATTTTATCTATTTCTTATGGGGAAATTGATTCCGTCAACGTTGTGTTTTTCAAGAACGTAACCACGACGTTAAGCGAGGACTTACTGTACTTGAATTACTTGTTCAGCATTTATCTAATTGAATTAATTTATATGAATTGAAGATCTGTTTGCAACAGGTGAATGTACATTTTTTTAAGTACTTGTAGTAGTCTTTGTTGTTATACCTTTAGAAGAGTTTATTATTATTGGACCAGTAAGAGCTGTGTTTATATCATTTGTGGACACAGGTAACAGGTGTCTGAAATGTTTTATTATGTACCACAAGCTTGAAAAAAAAGGAAAAACTCGCAAAAGAATTAGTCACAACACTTTCTGACTGAAGAAAGTGGGCAGTTTCTTGGCTTCAGGCAGAGTCTAACAACTGTATCTAGTTTTTATAGAGATTAAAGATATGAACTCCAAAACATTATTAAAGGCTTACCTTTGAGATGGTTGCTTGTGTTTTCCTTCTTGGTATTCTCTTATGTTATTCATACATTGGTTGAAACACTTTATTATATGGTGTTTCAGTTGAAATATGAATTAAAGAATCTCACAGAAATGTAAATTTTTGAGAAGATATTTAATTTATGCTTAATTTAGTTGTATAAAAGTGATTTATTTATTTCGCTATGTCTCTACCCTATTTTCATTCAACATAAAATTTTTTTTTATTCTAATACTGTATGTCATTATTACAATAAAATTGAGTGTATTATATGATTAACCTTGGTCATAATACATAACACTGATTTATGTTTGTAGGTGATGCGCTGTTCATTTGGCCAGGGATCAAGTCAAGAAATCATCGTATGGTGTGTTGGCATACTGGACGACATGACGATAGTTAGTGGAGATTCCAGGTTAGTACAGTTATTTAACTTTTATAAATGTATTAACCTCTTAGTGATCACTTACGTAAATTACGTCTTCCCTTGTCATCCGCTAATTGGTCACTGATGTAGTTTGTCATGTTATGTTATGGCTCCGTAGGCTTTGCTAAGGGCTCTTTTGGGTCAAGATCTGTAGAATAACTCATTTTGTGTGACTTGGCATTTTGTGTGTGTGGAGGCCACAAACACAAGAGACAAGGAGGATTGCCCAGTGTTCATAATGTATATATTAAACTACTTTTATAGTTATATTGATAAGTAAATAACATGAAGTGGTAGCAGGCATGCTGCCACCTCTGAACGGCACTGCGTGTATGGCAACACTCGATTGCCCGGGTCCTTTAAACCAGGTAAGGAGCTTGTAGGTGTGCTTTTCACTTTACCACATGACTGGGTTGTTTTAGCCAATAAAAAATTTTGGAAAAGTATTTACTCTCTGGGCACAACATAGGTTAAATTGACCATTTAAGGGTTAAAGCCAGGCATGGGTAATCTGCGGCTTGACCCACGTCTTTGTGCGGCCCGCGGAGTGAAGGAGAAATTCTATTTAATGTGGCCCACGGTTCAGGTAGATGCTGCCAGCTTATGGTCAGTAAAGCAATAACTATGAAGAGAATAATATTTTTACAATCCATTACTGTTTCATCACCTAAGAGTAAATAACTACAGAAATGTAATGGTGAAACAAGTATAAATACATTAAGTACCCATTGAACAAAAGGGTTAGGTTCCATTAAAATGCTTTCTTTAGGTGGATTATCTTCATTGAAACCATTTTTCCCATATAAATTAATGTAATAAGGGGGGATGTGTTCCTGTACTAAGCTCTGTGACAATAGAGTGGGGTATGCTATAACGAAACGGATTCTACTACGAATATTCCTATAACGAACGGTTTTACCTATAAAATTGAGAATGCTTTAACAAACGAAACTCCTACAATGAACGCAGACGAATACGGGACTATTTCGTCCTGCGCACGAATATCGTTGTACCGCGGCTCTGAGCAAGAGCGTCAGTCGCCATTTTGGTTCATTGTGTTGTCAGTGCACCACTGAACTTGTTAAAATTTTGTCTTTTGATGTGGAAATTCGTGTTATTTTTATAACTATTTTGTTATACAAGTGTACAATTGTAACAATGAATCGTCAAAAGCGAGTGAGAAAACTAATAGCCCTTGAAACTAAGAAAGGAATTATAAATCAGCGTGAGAATGGAACAAGCATTGCGAAACTTAGTGGTGAATATGGGATGACTAAATCGACTATATGTACGATTTTGAAGAATAAAGAGGAGTTAAAAGCTGTGCAAGTGGCTAAGGAAATCTCTAGACTTAGCAAAGCAAGGTGTGATGTGATTGAAGAGATGGAAAATTTACTCTTAGTGTGGATAAAGGAGAAAGAAATGGCAGGTGATAGCATTAGTGAGGACTTTAAAGCCAAGGCTCCCAGTGGAAGTGATAGTGCTGTGCCAGTGTTTAAGGGTACCAAGGGGTGGTTTACTGGTTTTAGAAAAATGAATCGGTTACATAGTGTTGTGAGACATGGTGAAGCTGCTAGTGCAGATAAGGATGCTGCTAGGGAACACCATGAAATTTTTTTTATGTGATTAAAGAGGGAGGCTTTGTTTCTCAGCAGGTATTTAACTGTGATGAAACTGAACTTTTTTGGAATAAAATGCCTCGCTGTACATACATTACAAGGGAGGAGACTTCATGGGTATTGTATTATTTAGATACAGTGTACAGTATCTGTTTATTGTCTTATTTTATTTTTAGATTATTTTTATGTTCCTTTACTTTGCCGCTGATATCATCCCTAACCCCATTTTTCCCACAAGGTTTGATATACATGATGCTCTCCAGGATTATAACTCCTGAAAATGTTGATCCCTTCTTGCACTCTTTCCATCACTCAGTTTTTTCAGTTCTCTGTAAAATTTCCATCACCCTCTCTTAGACCACCACATGTTATGGAGACATGAGGGAAGGGTTTAGAATTTGGGAAGGTTGGAAATTAACATGTTTAACCTGCACTGGGCATGTAAGTTACTTTTGCACTTTTTGGTGTGTTTCCCACTATACTAGCCCCCTTGGTGTCTTCACTTTTCTTATTAGTTCTCACCGTTGGCTCATTAACATGACAGACACTACACTTTTTCCATGTGCAGATAAATCAATCACTTCCACTTTCTGTTCCAGTGAAATTTCTCTCATTATCCTCTTTGGAGAAGCTCTATTCACATCATTAGATTTATACTTTGAAGTCATATTTGGTAGCAAGAAAAGAAATTGTAGGCTTATTATGAGTTTGTTAAAAGTAGCATTACCGTGATGTTTGCGGGTAAAAGACCCAATGAGAAGTATTGAGGGATGTCAAATGAGTGCAATAAGGGCAGGGGGGGAACCATTAGCTGAAGCTCACATAACCGCATTTTATCTACAATAATTGAGACTAGTGATGGGATCATGGTTGCCTTGTAGTCATGCTCCATTGGGCTAGAAATCTCCTGTGGGTCTGGAAATCCACTAATAAATTGAACTGGATACAGTACTGGGGTTGTTAAAATAGTGAACAGTGTACAATATAAAATGTGGATATTTTAAACCATGGATGATAAACCCTCACAGCTCTTTCCTTCTAAAAACCTTTTTCATAATGTTTAAGACTTTCCCATCAACTTTACCTTCAAAATGGAGTGCTGTTTCTTTTGCAGTGGTTCACATTCTTTTGTATGAGACTTAGAAGAAGTTCTTAGTTTGTAGGTCTGCTGATTTTTTAATTTTGTTTTAATTTTTGACAGAGGGAAAACTTGTTTCTGGAATGCAGAGCTTGGTACTATAACAGATGCTGTGGAAACTCACAAAGCAGATGTTCTTTGTCTCACAGTGTGTGCTGATCAGAAGTCTGTGTATGTTGCTGGTAAGTGGAAGATACATTAAAATGTTATGAAAGTTGGTAGTCCCCTTTATGTAACAGTGGATTTCCTCCTCCTGGTCCTCATCCCTGAGGCTTCTGGGTATTCAAGTTGTTTTTATTTTTCTGGACAACCAGACCAACACTTTGGAGCTGTGTACAGTAAGGGAATTTCACTTTCACAAAGAAATTGGTAAGAAATGGAGATTTTGTCCTTCCTAAGAGGTGCATATTCTTGCATCTTTTGCATCTTTGCTTTATATTACCTGGTTTATCTGCTCACTAATTTTTTGTAGACAGGCGTAAGTTGTAGATGAGGGATCGATCTTGAAATCCCGTTTTTAATTAAGTTTGGATGGAATGACATAGATTCCAATTACTTCCCTGGGGCTTTCCTTGGAGGTTGGTGTTAGTGTCAGGGTCCTACATACTGGTTTATAACTGGATTGTTGTTGGGGAAATAGCTAATATTCAAATAAAGGTCCATTTGTCATAGGAAAGAACATCCCTACAGAAAAATGAAATAAGTAAACATACTGTACTGATAAAAAATTTCATTATTTTTTCCTTATTAATAATGTATATTGTCATATATTTGGGGTTTTTGCTCACAAATGAAAGTGAGAAAAAATATTTTCTTGTCGTTGCAGATTTTTTTTAATTAAAAACGTTATAAATCAGTTTTTGCATGCACAGTACCTCTTTGTTGGGATGTGATTAGTAGACTCTGTTTACATGTGTCTCCTTACTATTCTAGCTGTTTAGAATCTCACATGTCATTCATTGGCTACCTTTAAGTTATAAATGTAGGATTAAGGTATGAAACCCTGTTTTTTTTTGTTCTTATATCTTCCAACTATTAATTACATTCCAAAAAAAAATATGTAACACTCTTTTTTAACTAATTCTAATTTGACATACAGTGATGCAGAAGAGGTATTCTTTATGAATGTATTCTCATATCTAAATAATTCTTATAATTTTGCTCTTCAGGTGTAGATCCAGTCATTGTACAAATAAGTCGTGTCCAAACAGGGGCAAAGAAGGGAAGGAAAGAGTGCTGGGTGAAGTCTATTCAGCGGTCAATACATACACATGATATTCGTGCTCTGGCCCTCACAAATGACAACAAAGTATATTCTGGAGGTAAGTTTATATGCAGAGGCTCAATGTCCAACATAATATGCTTATAATATTTTTAAGACCTTATGTCTGTCCTAAGTGACTTGTTTATTATTTTTGTTATTACTCCATCAGGACTTTGGGAGTTAAACTCAGGAAACCCATGGCCAGTGGTGTCTCAGATGAATCAATTAAATGTAGCTTCCCAAAGAAACATGAGACCTAGCAAAAGGGTCTAGGACTCTGGAAATAACAGTCACCACTTAACCCTTAACTCAAACTGTAAGGCTTGGGTGGGGGACGTGGTGTGGCTGTGTGGCGTAACATACCATGGTGCCTCATCAAGTCACTGTTCCCCTCACATAATTTGATCACTTTTGTCTTATTTATTGATAACAGTGATAAGTGTATCCATTACAAGTTTATTGCTTCTCACTAACATTGTTTACATTATGAACTGTCAACCACATATCTTAGGACATATTGCTATTCACACACGTGCGGCCCCAAACATAAATATATTTGTTTTTCACCAAAGTTTCTAACTTTTACAATGATTATATACTGTAAGTATTTACATACATTAAAACCTCATTAAGGCAGACCCCGCTAAGGCGGATATCGTTTAAGCCAGATAAAATTATTTTCCCAAAAATAATGCAAAAATTAAAAAAAATGGGGAAGGACAAAATTTGTCCTCTGATGACATGTCTCCTCCCTCCCGCCCACAATTCCCTGGATTTACTGTTATTATTAGTGTTTACTGATATAATAGTGTTTAATAGTGATTAATCATGGCATTGTAGCCAGGTTAAACTCGTCACTGTAACCACCAGGCTACTGGGCCAAACTGTGGTGTTATAATTGTTTTTCAACTCTTATGTTTGGGTAGGTACAGTATATGTAACTTTCTTTGTTTGATTTTACACAGTTACATGCACACACCATCCTACACACATATTGTCCTAAGGGCAAACACTTAAAGGGAATATATATTTCTTTGCACATGAGTTAGCCAACCGAGTAAGGGAGGGGAAGACGGTCGGAGAGTGTAAAGGGGGGAGTGTTGCTAGGGAATTGGTGTACCAGCTGATGTTCGTTACTATGGTAAAACAGGGAGTAATTTGCAAACGGTGGTTGTGTTGAACTTTCTTTTGGCTTTTATTTACTGATTTGGCAATACAGTATTTTTTGTTGGAATCTGTATTATCTTTATTTATTCCTCACATTTCCTGGTACTGTACTGTGTACTTTATATTACTGTAAGAAAACTATGGCTACTGGAGGAAATTACACACAAAAGTTTTTTCCTAAATACTCCCTATCGTAAAATACTGCACTGTATTTTTGGTGTTTTATGTCATTATTTATCATTTTTATACACTTTTTCATTCACCATAGGCTGAAATTGCATTCATATTTTTTGCATTATTATTGAAAAATTAAACAATAACTATGGCCCTAGGAAAGTGTATGGTATCCATAAGGGTGATGAGAAGATTAAGCCTAAGACCTTATCAGTGAACTAAAAGTAAGTGTACAATACAGTGGTCCCTCGGTTAACGAACACAATTCGTTCCAGTGGGTTGTTCATTAAAATATTTTTTTTTAACCGAATCCATTGTTTCAATGGGATATTGGGTAATTGGTTCCAGCTCACTGAAAAGTACATACAAAGTAAAAAAAAAATGCAATAAAGTACACTTACTTTGAGGTATGTATGTAGAAGGTTCCTCGTTGATGATGATGATGGGAATTAGAAGTGGGGGTGGAGGAGAAATCACCTTTCAGAGGACCCATGCTTGATGCCGTCATTTCGCCAATAAAATTTTAAGTTCACTTGGTGTAATTCAAGATTATTTTATTTAAATCAACACACACTGTGCTATATATTATCAATATGTTAACTAAATTTCAGAATGACCAATAATATCAATGAAAAAATGCAAAAATATTCAAGACGCCAACAAAATAGAAGTTCACTCCACTGTTAACAGAGCCCAACTGATGCCTGGTGGCTGAGTCAAGTGTCTGATGGGCGCACAAAAACCCTAGTTCCCAACACTGCATATATTATCAATATGTTAAATAAATGTTAAAATGACTAATAATTGTAATATAAAAAATGCAAAAATATTAAAGAGCACAACTTTATTGATATTTACTCCACTGGAAACGAATGTAAACATAGAACAGATTACTGAATTGGCAGACTAACCCATCAGCTGATGCTCACAACAAAACGTGATGTTCGTAAGGATTTCGTTAATCGAAGTTTTGTTCGTTTGCCGAATTGAAGATCCTTGTGGGAGGTAATTCGTTAACTGAAATTTTGTTAATCGAACCGTTCGTTAACCGAGGGACCACTGTACTTTATGTACATTACTTTTTAAAATTAATTTTGATTGAAAAGCATGTTTTGTTTTTTCATAATACTTGGTGTTGTACTGTATTTTTTTTTTTAAATGGTGGTCTTTGGAAAAATTTGCTCAAGGAGACGGTGATCTCACTATCGGTTTTACAAATTAGTTTGCCTTAGTGAGGTATTACTGTACAGGAATTTACCATATTTCATTTTCTGTTTAATAGTTTATGATGGTATAATATTGCTTAAAGCAGAACATCAAGCACAGTGAAACAATCACACAACAGCAATACAGTACTTAGTGTCTTGGCACACTTTTCAAGCAACACTCGTGCCAAACAACACCATCTGACTCAGAAGAGGATTTTGGAGGAACAGAGGTTGCTGAGACAAGCTGATGTGCCTTGGGAGGTTGCCACTTGTCATATTTTAAATATGTTAATCCTTTTGGACCATTTCAGACACCGCAGAAATTTTAATAGGTTAAATTAATTGATCTATGTAATAGACCGCTCAGAGAAGGCCACTCACGTATATAGGTCTATGAATTTGACCATTGGTGGATTAAGCAATGGCTGGCTCTTTGTGTGTATTGTCTACCCTGATAGGAAGATATGTGGGTTTTAAAAAAAAGTTGTAAAATTATAAAATTTTCTCCTGAAAAGGACAAGTTTTGCTCACCAAATATAGGGGTGTAATCTGATTCTCTGTATGCCTAACGAGAGCCACAATGAGATTTTATTCTTAAATTTTTGTTCTAATCTGATTTTCAACAGGTGTAGACACAGTCCTTGCCTTGAGCTACTACCCTCCAAAGACTGTGTTCAGATTCCCTTCACTACCTTATGTGAGTTACATTATTGGTAAAGATTTTTGTTGATCTATGTGTACAGGGCCCTCTTTCATGTAAATTGATTATATTACTATTAAGTAGAAATGCTGGAATGGATACTAAGGGCAGTCATAAAATATAATTTTCATTCTTTGTTGTACAGTACAGCCAGGTATCTTGTTCAGAATATCAAGTACCTGTACATACAGTGAACCCTCAAAGATTCAGACCCGGTAAATCATTGTGAAAGATTCGGACAAAATTTGGGGGTTCCGGGGGCTAAGAAGTCTCCTATAGAAGCATTCCCAAAACAGAGCAAAGATCATCTTAGGCCTGTGTAACTAAGATGTCAGTGTGCAGGACACAGGTGCCCAAGGCAGGAAACATAAGAAGATTTGTCAATTGTTGTTTGTGGGAATATTATTTCATTCACTCTAATATGATACAATGTTTCTTACTATGTTATTATAGGTAAATGCATGGTTTATATAATTTATATATCACCATTTTCAAATTAGACTACAAGTTAAGTATTTCTCCCATACATATTTCGATCGTACGCCTGGCAATGAGAGTGAGTGACTGCTACCTGGTAGTTGGAGTATCGTCTGCTGTTGTAACTCCTTGCTACCTGCCATATTTCACATATTGTGAAAGAAAGAAAATGAAATAATTGTTGTCAGGGCAAACACATAAATGGAATACAGTATGATCTCATATTTCGCACGATATCATTTTGCGAGATCCGGCAAGCTGAATGCTGGCCACTGTCTCGAATGACGTCACAGCTCTCATACCAGTTACAGTCATTTCTGCTACATTGCGTGTTTTGTCAAAGCGAATTGGTTGTAACTTTTGCAAGTGAATGTTGGCTATAGCGCGATTCCATCCTCAACATTTTAAGTGTGGCACGAGGTTATGCAATGTTTACAGTTCACGTTTGACATCACATGTTCAATTGATTCATGTCTTGTTTGTGAGGTGTTTTTTGAGATGTATTCTGTAGATTTTGTCTTTCTTTTTTCAAATTTAGTTGTTACTCATAAATACTGTATGAAAGAATAAGTAACAAGAATGTTTCGCAGTGAAGACTAATAACGGTTTACATCAGCGCTCTCTGTTTACTTCATGTGATCAGTTGAATAGCGCGGTTTCTGTGATTTTCGCTGTTTTCTCCAATTTTGTTGTACAGTATTAGCGATAAATATGGAAAGACAAGGTAAGAAAATTTTTTCCAAGAAGCGTTCTGGTGATCGAATTGCCAGTGGTGAACGTAAAAAAGGTTTACAAGAATGCAACTATCTCGTTGTAGCCCGCTCCATCCTAGCGATCGCCCGGGCTGCTATTGTGTGCTTTTGTTGGGTGGTGCTACCACCTGTCAAGTCAAGTTAATTTCCTCTACTTCTACTGGAGTTCCTACTGGTGCTGGTGGGGTGGGACAGACCCACTTAAGTGGCCAAATAAGGATAAGCGGGATAAGCAGCGTGTGATTACGTTGCTTGAAGGCCTAAAACCTAGTGAGATAAGAAAGATTACTGGTTTTCCAGAAAGCACAATTAGATCAATAAAGACATAATTTGTATCATTTGGAGGTTATACATGGAGAAATCACAGGTTGATGCAGAGTGGCCAGTCTATATTGTTATTTTTCCCATTAATTTATGTACAATATTTGCATTTGGCTCAATTTTTCCATTCTATAATACTGTACTCACGAAATACAAGATCTTACTGTACAGTGGTCCCTCAATAACGAACGGTTCAATTAACGAAATTTCGATTAACGAATTAGCTCCCATTAGGATTTTCAGTTCCATTAACGAACAAAACTTCGATTAACGACAGCCTTACGAGAAACATGCCTTGGTGTGCGCATCAGCTGATCGGCTAGTCCACCACTACAGTAATTGGTTCTGTGTTTACATTCGTTTCCAGTGGAATAAATATCAAGAAAGTTGGTCTCTTGAATATTTCTGCATTTTTTATATTAAAATTATATTTTCTTTAAATGAACACTGCACTGCGCTATATATTATCAATATGTTAACTAAAGTTCAGAATGACCAGACTGACTGACACCTGGTGACCAAACCACGCATCTGATGGGTGCACAACTAACTAGTTCCCTGTACTGCATATATTATCAATATGATAAATAAATGTTAAAATTTGATATAAAACATTCAAAAATATTAAAAAGTTCAAATTTATTGATATTTAATCCATTGGAGACGAATTTGAATTTAGAACAGATTACTGAATTGGCTGAGTACTGTACCTGCTCAGCTGATTCTCACAGCAACAAACTGGTATGTTAGTTCCCTCTACAGTACTGCATATATTATCAATATTTAATGTTAAAATTACTAATAATTTTAATATAAAACATTCAAAAATATTAAAAAACTGAAATTTATTAATATTTAATTCACTGGAAACGAATTTAAACTTAGAACAGATTACTGAATTGGCAGACTGGGCCATCCGCTGACCAGCTGATGTTCACAACAAAACGTGATTTTCATAAGGATTTCATTAATCAAATATTGTTCGTTAACCGAATTGAAGATTCTTATGGAAGGTAATTTGTTAACTGAGGTGTTCGTTAACCGAGGGACCACTGTATATTTAATGTTTTGTTAATTCTATTACCGGTATATAGTACTTTGTATGTATACTTTTCCGTGAGTTGGAAACAATTATCCAATATCCCATTGAAATAATAGATTCAGTTAACAAAATTTTCAGTCAACAACCGTCTCTGTTGAACCAATTGTGTTCGTTAATCGAGGGACCACTGTATACATTTCTTTGCACACTAGTTATCTGGCTCAGTGAGGGAGAGAGTAGGGGTGGGGAGCATTGCTAGGGAATCATCATCCCAGCTGGTCTCTGTTACTATGATCAAGTAGGGAGTGTATACAAATGGTGACTGTGTTTAACTTTTTTATGGCTTTTATTTACTGATTTGGCAATACAGTATTTTTGGTTATAACTTATTCCTCATATATCCTGGTACTGTATATATTGTTTTAAGAAAACTATGGCTTAAGGAGGGAAATACACCAAAGTTTTTCCTAAATACTCCTTACTAAAATGGGTGGTGCACCTTACATGCTGTAAAATACAGTACTGTACTGTATTTTTTGGTGTTTTTATATATTTATCATTTTTATGCATTTAGTACATTCACTGGAAGATACAGAAAATCGTCTTTTTCGGACAGGTGGTCCCCCTTTTTAGTCTGAATCTTCAAGGGTTCACTGTAGTTTTGAGTTTTTAAGAAAAGGTCTATTATGTTATTCCTCTTTCCTGACTGGCATACAACAGTCTGCATTTTTATGGTTTAAAAGGTTATATGAATTATGTTTTTCTGTAGCCTGGATCCATATCAGTTGCTGGGGAGGCGGAATGTATCCTTCTTCGCTATAAGGAGCACCTGGAGTTGTGGCAGCTAGGAAAGTCTTCACAAGCTGATGGACCTACTGGCCTGTTCCTTCCTATTTCTCAAGTAATTATTATTATTTTCATCATTTTTATTCTCAATATGTTTTGAAAAGTAGCCAGGATAGAATTTTTTTATGCACTGCTAGTCTATGTTTGGCAACAGGAAACTTAAACAAGTGGAAAATTTTGTGTTTTTTGGGATGTATCATTGGCTGTGATGATAGATGTACAGAATAAATCAAAACAAGAAAAGGGCAAGCAAGAACAGTATTTAATAATTTAAAAGACCCAATGAAAAAGAGACATTAACTTCAATTTGAGAAAAATGGCAAAGATTATTATATGGGTCAGATGCATGGACACTTTCAGTAGACACCAGAGAGAGTTGGAGGTCTTTTGATGAACATAAGTACCCTTTCTGTAAATTGTTCTCATTAAACTATATAGTATCTCCTTAACCCTCTTATTAGTACGAATGACTCTAACCCCTTGTGTACCGACTCCTCTATGAGTTGAATAAAATTGTCCGGTATCAGTCAAATGAGAACCTTAAAGTGACATCTCCATAGTTAAGGAGTTTGTTGAGGTAGTCTACTAACCCTTATAAGCTGAATAAAATTGTCTGGTATTAGCCCCAAAAAATATTAAAAGTGGTATCCCTGTAGTGAAGGGGTTGAGAATTTTATTTTCGCTAATGCCAGAGGATTTTTTCAGCTTAGGGGAACCCTTGGCAATCAGGGGGTTAAGCCGATCTCAATTAATTGAAATATTTTTTCTTCTCAAAATTGAATTGGGGATATAGGAAACATAGTTGCAAGCAACCTATTATTTATGAAGGTTAGAAAAATTACCAGCCTATTGAGGTAATATTACACCAAGTCCCCTTCATTTAAGTCTTTCAGTGGGATGTGGTGATGGATGTACCCAAATGTGTAAACAAATCAACTTTGTCATTCACCATTGGGACTGGAGGGAGAGACTAATCCTTGAGTTAATGGCCAGTATTATAAGCTGCCTAATCACAGTGGAGGCACAATAATTCTCAAAATACAAATTTTTGTTCTTTAATTAGTGGGTACCTCTATTATTACCTCTTTCAAAATTTTGCAGTAAAATATTCATAATTCATGGCCAAGCTTCGGTTGCTGCAGTATTTATTTACATAAACCCTAAAAGTTGTGGAAAAATCATTTCATTGCTCAAATTTGATTTAGAAATAAAGAAAATATAAATATTACTTCAGTGCTCTAATGTGGCTTAAAAATAAGGACAATACAGGCAGTCCCCGGGTTAGGTACGAGTTCCATTCCTAAGAACGTTCTTAAGTCGAAAATGGACTTGATTCGAACCACATACCCTATGCGCATTTCTACTTACAAAACAATGTTTAAAATCCCATTTTATCATAGCCTAAGTCCTTATATACTGTACCTCTAAAATCACTTATTTTAAGAGAAAAGAAGAAATAGAATGACAAAATACAATAAATGAAAGTAAAAAATAAATCAAGTAAATAAAACACTGTAAATTTAAAGTTTTAAATTTATGGGACCTCATTCATATTGACGGATGTTCATAAATCAGACTTACTGAACACGGGGACCTCCTGTAAACTGTAATATAAAACTAAAAAAAAGGAAAGAAAAAGAAAAGCAGTAAGTGAATTGTTTGTGGGAGGTAGGCAGTTGGGTGGTGGACTGAGGTTCCCTTCCCCCCTCCTGTTCCCAAGTGTTCAGCGCCACTCCAACCTCATCACTGTAATACAGTACAGCATTATGCAACTTCACCATAATTCTCATATTATTTAGGTTTACTGTGTGTTTCGAACTTATTTACAACTATTATAAATTTATAAATTTTCACACAACAAAACCCACATTCAACCCCGGATGAGGTGTGGCATTAAATTTCTGGTTCTTTGTTGATCTAGTGCTGTCAAGCCAGCCCTGGTACCTGCCTCTCTTGATGTTGTATTGACATAAACCACAAAATTTTGAGAAGGGAAATAGCTATTAATGTTATATAGAACTAATTTTTGTACAATATCTACAGTGTGTGACTGTAATTTTATATGTTTTGTTTTACATACGATGTTTAGTGTTTATTAAAGCGGCTTTGGAATAGTATATGAGTACTGTATTTCTTGGCTTCTGGAGTCAAACTAATTATTTCAGGTTAAGTCAGTAAAACTATAATTTGTAATTTGATAATTGATAATTTGACAATAATTCTAATAATGTTCTTTGTATTTATAATGTGTGCTAGATTTTGTATATAGATTGTAGGCTGCTTCATTTGTTGGGTGATGGGTTGATTGGTTGCATTAGAATAAAAAAGTTTTTAATTAGACAATGATGTTTTCTTCTTACAGATCTAGTGGATCTTTATAACAACACTCAAATACTTGCCTTCATTTGAAATACTGTGAAATTTTCAGTTTTGTTGTGTATGTCATCAACTAACTACTGGTGATTAATTCATTGATAAATTGTTTGTGTAATATTTTTCAGGATCGTATCAAGCTTCTTGAAATTCACTGCCATGAGGATGAGTTGATAGATTGGTGTGCTGTGTCTCCCCAGGCCGTCTGGATTGCTTACATTGTCAAAGGAAAGCTCAGAATCTTTCAGTTCTATCCACCGAAGGTAATTTTGACATCAACACTAGTAAATTAATTTCAGTTTTTGTTATATTTGACAAGCAAATTTTAATGACAACGTAATTTTCTAACATAATTGAGCAGAATTTGAAGTAGTTGTGGAACACAAAGAACGATAAGTTGGAATTAAGAATGAGAAGGCTTAAGTGGCTTAGGTAGTGTTAGGCACATTAATATTAGAATCGAGATAGAAAAATGTTGAAGGTAATGGGGGGATTACTTTGACCCAATGAAAGCATTAAAAAAAAAAAAGAGACCTGTAACCAAAACTTGCATTTGTTTACTCTAGATACACTTTACCTTCTACTCTTTTGGTACACTTTACAACCAAGATTTTAGAAATTAGGAATTGTTTACCATATGCAAAAAATACATTAACCTCTACGCCCTGGGCTAAGTACGCTGGCTGTATCCCCTATGCGGAGTAAATCGAGAAAAATCAACTTTAACAAAAGTAATTTTTAACCTTTTTGAATGATAAAACAATAAAAAACAAATAAGAAAAACTATATATTGACCCCCTTGAAACTTTCCTGGGGCAGCAGTGGTGAGGGAGATAAGGGGACAGTGTTGTTTTGACGGCTTGCACTCATGGTCACTACGCACTTAGCGGCCATTTTCTGCTTGCCTTTGTGTCTAGGATGGCCAGTAATGCATATATTTGCTGATCATAATACTTATTTCCTATAAATAATTCATTCAGAATATTTTATTAGCATTATTTTTCATAAAATGTGCTCGGCGACACGTGTAGTCTGTCGCCAGGCTATCTTTTTGTTTGGTAGAGCAAGTAATGCCTATAAATAATTACCAAAATAATATTTCCACAAATAAATACATTTATAACATAATCATAGCATTATTTTCCAGTAATACTACACTACAACTACACTCCTTCTTTTCCTCCTCTCTTCCAACCTGATACCTCTATAGCCAACTCCCCCTGACAAAGCCAATCTCTTTGGCACCTTATTCTCCTCCAACTCCACCTGAGACAATTCCCATGCTATCCCTCCTACTGAACCTATGCACTTTCCTATAATCTCCACTCACAGGGTTGCCGGTGTGTTATCCAGGTTGGATGTGAGTAAGGCGCATGGGCCAGATGGAATACCCCCTCGTGTTCTGAAGGAGTGTGCTGAAGCTCTGGCCCCTGTGCTTTGCTCGCCTCTTTTGCCTGTGCCTCAAAACCCAAACTTTTCCTTCTTCTTGGAAGCATGCCCTGGCTCAGCCCATCCCGAAGAAGGGTGACCATTCTAATCCCTCTAACTATCGCCCCATTGCCCTAACTTCATCCCTCTCTAACATTTTCGAAACTATCTTGAACTCCCATTTGCTCCGTCACCTTGAACGCCATTCTCTTTTGTCGGATCACCAGTATGGCTTTTGCCAAGCGAGATCAACTGGTGATCTGCTCTCCTATTGCACCCATCTTTGGTCATCCTCTCTTAGGGATTATGGGGAAACTTTCATCGTGGCCTTCGACATCCCCAAAGCATTTGACAGGTTATGGCACAAGTCTTTGCTTTCTAAACTTCCCTCTTTTGGTTTCTCTCCCCCACTTTGTTTTCTAATCTCTAGCTTCCTTGAGAACCGATCCATGGCAGTTGTTGTCGAGGGATCGAGCTATCGCTCTTTCTCATCCAGTAGTGGCGTCCCACAGGGTTCTGTTCTTTCACCAACTTGCTTCCTTCTTTTTATCAATGATTTACTTCACACTACAACTAATTCTATCCATTCTTATGCTAATGATTCTACTCTTCATCCTTCTTCACATTTTCCTCTTCCTCCTAAATCTCAAACTAGATCTGTTTCTAGAGCTGTTATCATTACTTCTATCAATGCGGATCTGTGCAGCATCTCTGAATGGGAAGGTACAAACTTGGTTAAATTCAATAAAAATAAAACTCGGTATTTACCAATTACACTTTCTAAATTATATGATCTCCCACCAATTACATTTCAGGACCCTATCATTCTGCCAAATTCTGAAATAAATATGCTAGGCCTCATCATTTCCTCCAATATGTCCTGGAAATCACACATCCTTAATATAGCTAAAGCTGCCTCCCGAAAGTTGGGAATGCTGTACAGATGCCGAAGCTACTTCACTCCTGAGCAGTTGCTCCAAGTATATAAGGGATTCATTCGTCCTAACTTGGAGTATTGCTCTCATATCTGGGGTGGCTCTTGTTCTAACCAACTATTAGATACGGTGGAATCAAAGGCATTTCATCTTATTAACTCTCCTCCTTCAGTCAACAATCTCTCTTCCCTTTCTCTTCGCTGCAATGCTGCTTCAATCTCTCTTTTTACAGGTACTTTAACGGGCAATGTTCAGTGGATTTGGCATCCTATGTATCGCCGGCAAGCCCGTGGGCTCGTAACACATGTCTTTGTCAGTACACAGCGCAATCACTAACGTATTTTCGAGTCCCAACGTTAGTGATTGAGCTGTGTACTGACAAAATTTTCGTTTGTAATTCCATTTAAAATGGCTGGCATGCTTAAAAGTGAGAGTTTTGTGGTGCTGAGAAGAAAAAGAGACACTCACTCATATGGGCTGTATGCGGTTGTGGTGTCGAACAACAATTCTCGGACGAGGGACCTCGGATGATAGTAAGTGCTGGTGTCGAGGATGGTGCAGAAGCTTCTCGCCAAATTTGCAGATGAGGTCGTGGTGATGGTCAGAGAGAGCCAACAAGGTCAGTGTGTTGACTGCTTCTTGATATGTGGAGAAGGAAGGGGAGAGAATAATCTTGCATGCCCTCTTTTGCACTTATTCTAGGTGTTTACGTTGTGTGCCATTTAGGGAGGAAGACCAGGTAAGGGAGGCATAGGTGAGCTTGGGAAGTATGAATTTTGAGTGAACACTGAGGAGCTCGGGCGCAAGAACTCCGAGGTACTTGATTTGGCGCAGGAGGCGGAGACGGAAACTGGAGGATTTGACAACTTCATTGACATGTGTTTTCCAATTAAGTTTGTTGTCTATGGTGATGCCAAAGAGCTTAGTGGAGTCTACAACCTGGAGTGTGTAGGGGCCTAAAGTAATGGAAGCAGTGTGGGACAATGTCGGAGGAGAGGTTGATGTGCAAAACCATGGTCTTGGTATGGTTGATGGTGATGTGGTTGTTGGTGGCCCAATTTTGGAGACTGATCAATAAATCCTGGAGGGTGGTGTAGTTGGGAGCCGAGTTGTTGACACTGATCCCTATGACGGAGTTGTTGACATATTTCCGGTGAACAGGAGTTTCTCTTAGGGCATCATTGATAAGCATAAGAAAGCAGAGCGGTCCCATCTTGGTGCCTTGGGGGAAGTCACAGGTGAGTGACTGAAAAGTGGAGACAGCCCCTCGGAAGTGTACGGCTTGGTGTCGGTCACTAAGGAAGTCTGTAAGCCATGGTATAAGACTTCTTCGAAAACCGAGGTTGATAACTTTGTTGATGAAAAATTGTGGTCGGCTCGGTCAAATGCTTTGGTGAATTCAATGAAGGTGACAGCCACAGACGTTTTACGTTTTTCCAGTTGGCGGTATATGTAGTCGAGAAAGCTGACATGACAGTGAGTGGTGGAGGAAGTTTTCAAATTACAGGTTGTACCTCTCTAGTCCGGCAACCTCGGAACCTGACCGGTGCCGGACCATGGAAATTCACCCTTTTCCTGGATAGATAGTGACTTGTGCTTATGCTTGGAAGCACTAGCACCTCTTTCTCTGCATCATGGTCTCTTTGAAGACATATTGAAGGGTTAAATGTCGTATAGTAGCTTCATAAAATTCGCGAGTTTTTAATTCAACGTATTTTATTGGAAAAAAAAAATTAAATAAAAATTTTGACGGTGGAAGCTTGAATTTCGACGGGTTTGAACAGCCCGCCAACGTGCAGACGACGTGCATAATCGTGTAAACAGCGTCATTTCTCTTATGTACAAAAGACTCATTATTGTATATTACTGAATGTCTTTTTTATTGAATTAATGTTTTTGTGTGCAAAATGAGCAATACAATTCATTAATAATACGTAGAATGTTAAAACACACAAGGAAATGACACAGCATTGTTTTCGTTGATTACAAAACCAGTGACTGACTGTTTCTACATAAAAAACTGAAGAAAATAAGACCTTGGTTGTAGCTGTAGTAAAATTAATATGGTTGTTTTAAGCGATGTTATTTAATGTTAATAAATGGAACAATAGAAGTAGCTAACGATAATGGTAAAGAAAAAAGAGAGATCGCGTATGTAAGTGCTCACACGTGAAAACATATCGTCATTATTTTACATAAGAATATGAAAGCAACACTTATTTACTGTTCATATATATTTTAATTAATGTCTGAATTTGTTTTTATTGAATTAATGTTTGTGTGTGCAAAATTAACAATACAAGTTATTAATAATGAGGAGACGAGACGGCTGCCGGCATTGTTTATGTTAAATCTTACGAAACTAGTGACTGATTGGTTCTACATATAAAACTGAAGAAAATAAGATCCTGATTGTAGCTGTAGTAAAATTAATGTAAACAAAATTAATATGGTTGTTTGAAGTACCTGTAATGTTATTTAGTGTTAATAAATGGAACAATATCAGTAGCTAACCATTCATGGTAAAAAAAAAAGTGAGTGCGCACATGTGAAAACATATCGTCATTACTCTACATAAGAATATGAAAGCAACACTTATTAACTGCTCATACATATTGAAGGGTTAAATGTTGTACTCTGTATAGGCAAACAGAGAGAGAGAGCAGCCGAACTACCGGATGTAAACAAACCTTTATTTCCCGCGGCTTTGTTGTTGTTTTTTTTACGGGGATTAGCCCACCCGGGCATAGGTCACCGACCCACATTGGGGCCTGAAGGGCACAAATTTAATACTCCTGAAATAATAATAATAATTCATATAAGTAAAAAAGAAAAAAAAAAGCTGCCTATCTGCCTATTGGACAAACTAAAATCGTTCCGGACCACAGGAGTTTCCGGACCACAGAATGCCGGACTAGGGAGGTACAACCTGTACCAAATTGCTGAGGGTCTATGGTGTCTGTGTGTGTGTGTGTATGTATATATATTTATTTATTTATTTATTTATTTTTATTTTTTTTACATTCTGTATGAACGATTGTGTGTGCATGTAACAAAAAAAATATCTACCCAAAATTATGAGTTGAACAATTATGCAGCTTGGTCTGGTAGGGGAAGGTAGCTACAGGGAAAGTCTTACTTAACGATATGCCAAGTCTACACACATGTTCACTTCACACACACCCACCCATGACCTTTTTCTCTCTCTCTCTCTCTCTCTCTCTCTCTCTCTCTCTCTCTCTCTCTCTCTCTCTCTCTCTCTCTCTCTCTCTCTCTCTCTCTCTCTCTCTCTCTCTCTCTCTCTCTCTCTCTCTCTCTCTCTCTCTCTCTCTCTCTCTCTCTCTCTCTCTCTCTCTCTCTCTCTCTCTCTCTCTCTCTCTCTCTCTCTCTCTCTCTCTCTCTCTCTCTCTCTCTCTCTCTCTCTCTCTCTCTCTCTCTCTCTCTCTCTCTCTCTCTCTCTCTCTCCTCTCTCTCTCTCTCTCTCTCTCTCTCTCTCTCTCTCTCTCTCTCTCTCTCTCTCTCTCTCTCTCTCTCTCTCTCTCTCTCTCTCTCTCTCTCTCTCTCTCTCTCTCTCTCTCTCTCTCTCTCTCTCTCTCTCTCTCTCTCTCTCTCTCTCTCTCTCTCTCTCTCTCTCTCTCTCTCTCTCTCTCTCTCTCTCTCTCTCTCTCTCTCTCTCTCTCTCTCTCTCTCTCTCTCTCTCTCTCTCTCTCTCTCTCTCTCTCTCTCTCTCTCTCTCTCTCTCTCTCTCTCTCTCTCTCTCTCTCTCTCTCTCTCTCTCTCTCTCTCTCTCTCTCTCTCTCTCTCTCTCTCTCTCTCTCTCTCTCTCTCTCTCTCTCTCTCTCTCTCTCTCTCTCTCTCTCTCTCTCTCTCTCTCTCTCTCTCTCTCTCTCTCTCTCTCTCTCTCTCTCTCTCTCTCTCTCTCTCTCTCTCTCTCTCTCTCTCTCTCTCTCTCTCTCTCTCTCTCTCTCTCTCTCTCTCTCTCTCTCTCTCTCTCTCTCTCTCTCTCTCTCCTCCTCTCTCTCTCTCTCTCTCTCTCTCTCTCTCTCTCTCTCTCTCTCTCTCTCTCTCTCTCTCTCTCTCTCTCTCTCTCTCTCTCTCTCTCTCTCTCTCTCTCTCTCTCTCCTCTCTCTCTCTCTCTCTCTCTCTCTCTCCTCTCTCTCTCTCTCTCTCTCTCTCCTCTCTTTTTAAACCTGTATAGCAACATGCCATCTCCATGAATATTATTTTTGTGAATAAGCAGGGTACGCTTTGCGAATATGGAATATTGAATATGGGTGTTGAATTATCAATTCCAAATAAAGGGGGTTGCAGTTATCAAGGTATTCCTGAATATGGTGTTCATGTTCTCACTGTCTATTTATTAAGCTGTCCTGTCAATGCAGCCCACTTACACTTTCAGCACTATAGTGCAGTTATTCTTTTTGAGTAAATAATGATTATTTTTTCCTGTAATTGATTATAATATATTTTGCTCTTTTCAGCCTGACAGCCAAGCAAGTGTGAGAATGAGGTAATAAGTAAGGAAATAAAAGAAAAATTGAACAAATTGTATGGCTGGGTGAGGCAGACTAGCTTCTGCTGCTACAAATGGCAGTATTCAGGTAAGTTAAAAAAAAAAAAAAAAAGTATATATATATATATATATATATATATATATATATATATATAATATATATATATATATATATATATATATATATATATATATATATATATATATATATATATATAGATAGATAGATAGATAGATGAATATATAGATAGATAGATGAATGAATAGATAGATAGATAGATAGATAGATAGATAGATAGATAGATAGATAGATAGATAGATAGATAGATAGATAGATAGATAGATAGATAGATAGATATACTGTACAGTATTACCCGCCTTCTTGGTTTCATAGCGTTTACATTATCTCGCGATTGCCTTGCCAGAGCTGAACTTTCTCATAACCGCGGATTTTTCCCCTATACCGGTGAGTGTCGGCTCGGGCGCTATTTTAGAATTTGCCCCTGCGCCCACCGCCCGCCTGCCTGCCTGCCTCATCGCCTCTCCTCCTCCTCCCTCGCTTGGGCTAAGCGGCATGGCAAATTCGCGCAGTGTGTGTCTTTGTTGCGTTATCACTGATGTCATATGACATATCGGACTGTGATTGGCCATGCATCCCTACCCCTCTGCTAGCTGTGGTGGCTTAAACTATTATAGCGTGACCACCCGGGGGGAGGAGGGAGAGAAAAAGACGATGTGACCTGGCAGCGGCAGTTTCATCTCTAAGGCCACACCGTCGCTTCGCATCCATTGTTCCGTAAAATGGCTTCCGCGGTTCACCGCCACCAGAGAGAGCTTACCTACCTGGACCCAGCGGCACTAAGCCAAAGAAGACCTGACGTTCCTTAAGCTACGGTGAAGTACCAAATTGTTCAATATTTGGAGAAAGGAACCTGACAAGTTGATCTCGCCAGCATGGCGTCACTCGAATCTCACGATTACGCGCGATCAAGAAGGATGCAGCCAAGATCAAAGGCACATGAAAATCACAAAGTCTGCGGAATTGCTTATCTATCAGGTATTGCCAGAACAGGGTGCTGGCAAAATTGGAAAAATTGCTGGTGAGTTATTTGATTCGTCAGGTCTTGGCGTAACATGGCGGTGGACAGGCGCTCAGTGCAGGAGTCGCCGTGAGCTATCGCGAGCGGTGTCACGTAAGCTGGGAGTGCAGAGCCCAAACACCCTTCAATGCTTCCTCTGGTTGGCTGCATAGGTTTAAGAAGAGAACAAGATCACCAACATCAACATTGGTGGTGAGGAGGCAGTGCTGAATGTGTGGCTAGAGATTTTCCTCCGTTTTACGTGAGATTATGGAGGACAGTACACTGGCGACCAGGTGTTTAACATGGACGAATCTGGTCTTTTCTGGAAAAAAGCTACCTTCCAAGACCTTCGTTGTCCAGTCTGCCAGCAAGGTAAGGGGTCGGAAGTTGCAGAAGGCACTTATCACCGTCCTGTTTACCACCAATGCTCGTGCCTGTAAACCAAAGTTATCGGTGATTCACACAGCCGCAAAGCGCCGCGCCTACAAGAATATGGACATGAACAAGCTTAATGTCCACTGGCTACTTCCGCCGCGTAAGGCGTGGATGTCCTCTTCTCTGTCCCTCTTCTGGTTTTGACAACTGTTTTGTTCTGGCGTGAAGAAATTCTAGAGCAACAGAATGTTTCATTCACTATTTTGTTGCTCGCTTGACAACGCTTACCTGGACACTCGCCCCTACTTATGGATCGTCACCCCAGCGTAAAAGTGGTCTTCCTTCCTCCCAACACTCGTCATTAATCCAGCCCATGGACCAGGAGTTGATCTGCAATGTTAAAGCTCCTGAACAACTCTACCAACACCAAAGATGAGTTGTGGCTGTGTGCAAGGCCCGAAACCAAAAAGCACGTGAACAAGGAACAGAGGTGGTGACTCAAGAACTTCTCGTTAAACAATTTTGGGAAGAAGTTTAACGTTAAACAAGCTGTAGACTTCTTGGTGGGCATGGGATCTGCTGACTATTGCTACGATTCGTCACGCATGGAGACATGTGTTGCATGGCATACCAGGTGAGAGGAGGTGGACCTGTGACTGGTGAGGTTCAGACTGTTGCAGTAGCAGTGGACCTTGCCAGGCTAGCTCAATATTACAGCTGAAGGCTTCTCCGAGACCACCAATGAAGACATCCTGGAGGTGATCAGAGATCCTGAAGTGACTGCCGGCGAGATGTTGGAAGAAGAACACGTCAGTGAAGAGGAGGAAGAAGGTCGTGTTCTCCGAAGAACACAGTTTAAGTCATAGTGATATTAGTGGTGAAACTAATCAATGAGTTACTTCCCAGTCACAAATGTCAAATATTTTTTTGGGGGTGTCTTAACCCATGGATTTGGTGCTGTAACATATCTGTCGTTTAGGGGGGGACATTAGGTCATAAACTGAAGATATGTAATTTGAAAAATAGTTCATGAAACAAAATTGTTGGTGTGATATGGATATTTGGATTGCATGTATGGGAATAATTGCTGATTACTTTAAATAGAAGCTGAGGAATATGGTGAGATCATGATTAAGCATGGCAGATGTTAATATGGATCCAGGTGTGAAAATGATCTTTGACTAATACAGGTATGTGAGTAAGAATTTGCACCTTGGCCCATTCATACCTTTATTTGCTGCTGGAACAACATTTTCATTATATACTAAGGTATCTAATCATCATAAGGCATTATTTGATGGAAAAAATGAGACTGCTTAATTTTTATTTTCACGCATGCAGACCCTTTTGGTAAAAACAGGCCAAAGACTTTTACGAGTGGAGGACTATGGTCACCAACCATCAGATATGATGATGGCACTTTTGATGCATGATTATGTATGTATTAATATGAAATGCAGTTTTCTTACATTTAAGGGTTCTGTTATTGCTTGCATCCTTTTCAAATACTGTAGTTTTATTTTTGTTTTCCTAGATCATCACCATGTCGGATTTGGAAGTAACCTTAGAAAGTGAACTCACCCTCAAACCAGGCCGCAGTGTTATCCAGATGAACTCCAATCCAGATGGCAGTGTCTTGGTGGTCTTAGATAGTCAACATATGGTAACTGCATTCAACCTTGATCAAGGCAGCAGCACCACCTTACCAAGTTACAGCTCCCCAGTTACGGCCATTGGGGTCCACCCAGTCACCAGAGACATTGTGGTGGTGTATGCAGACATGATGATCAAAGAATATGATCTCGCCATGCAGAAATACACTCCTTTTTGTAGAAGTTTTTTGTCCACCTGTTCCTCAGACTTAACAAAGAGAAATTCAATCACGCAGTGTGAGTTTTGATCCTCTTCACCCTAACCTAATTCTCTTCTCTGATGATTCATCTATAATTGTGCTAGATAAAGACAAAGAGATTACAAATAAAGGTCTTGACAAACCAGCCAAAATAATGCCGAGTGACCCTTCACTGGATAACAGTAATAGTAACTCTTCCAGCAGTGTTGTAAAGGTGGGAAGTACAGGAGTATTCACTTTTCTGAAGAGAGCTAATCAAGTTATCCATTTCTCTCGTGTCAAAAATGAATCATTAGTCAGTGTAGAACTCAACCCCCTACAGCTCCTTGATAAACTGCCACCTGCATTGAAGGTGAAAAAGTATGGTGGTGTATAAGGAGTAGGCAGAAGGAGAAAATTCAGAATCCTTAACCCTTTGGATAACATGCGGGTAAACCCGCCCAAAATATTATATTAATTAAATGCGACAAGCGGGGATATCCCACGGCCTGAAAAAAACTTCCCCAAATGAGACGACATGCGGACATATCAGGAACCTTCAATAGGGGTATTTCCTGAATGCAATATAGCTTATTTTTGTACTATTTGTTTGATATTATCTGAATATGTAATACATATCTAAATTTGCTGTTTAGTAACCAAATTGATTAAATTTATTTGCCATATACCAGACATTGATTTATACCAATTTCCTGCATTTTTGGGTATAAATGTCATTTTTTTCTCTAAATTTGCACACATATGTGAATTTTTGTTCCAGATTTGGAAAATATACTAAAAGTTCTCTAGGAAAAACATATAGAAAATGTGATTATATGAAATCTATTTTGGCAGGATAATTGACACTTTTTAGGAACCGGCGCGAAATTTAATTACGCACCTAAAAGTTAAACATTAGATTTTACAAGAAAATTAAAAATTTGTGATTAAAGAAATTGATTACTGTTTGATGAACATTTAATTCATCTCTTTTTCATAAAGGAAGACTGAGTCATGTTGAGAACTATCTATTACAGTATGTGAAATGGTTTTATTCCCCTTCTGAACATATTCAAATATAAAATATTGTTTTTGTTAATTCCTTTTGTGTTTCAATTGATTGGTAGTACTTGGTTATTTGTAATCAGAAGTTATTGATCAGTAAGTACAAAATAAAAGTAACATTTCTATTGAGGCTAATTCAAGACTTTCTTAATGGTTAGAATAGCCTAGTCTTTAGCGTTATTTTTTTTAATATAAAAGTTTATACAGTGTTTAACCAAATTTATCTGGATTTATCAATCATTTACAAGTGTTCATCAATATGCTGTGTATTATTTATGCAATATAGTTTTTATCCTCTTTGATGATCAATAAATTTTGTCTTCCATTTATGTGTGTTGTATGCTAACCGCATCTTTTTTAGAATTTGCATTGTTTACTTTTAGGAATCTTAACACTGCAACTGATCTGAAGGCTTATGAAGATTCTTCTGTTTTTCACTTGACTATCTCAACCTGTAACTCAGAGTTTTTAATGTGAAATTTGTTTTACTTGATCCTCAATTGATTTTTTTGCTTATATTTTTTCTCATGTTTAGTGTGGACTTCCTGGTAGCCTTCGTGATTTGAAGGTATTGAGATTTGAGTTGGGTATAATATAGGTATAATACTACAACTAGAAAAAATTTCAGTTATTTCAATGGGACTTTTTAAAAAGATGTGCTG